TATTAGTAAAGTACAGATTCTAGTACAGTCACAGTCATGCATTGTAGCCATGGCGACAATAGACTTTGCACTGGTGCTCGTGCAACAACACACGTTTAGTGCGATTTCTCACGACGTTTGGTCATGATAATTTCTCACTCGGTTGTTGCCTTTAATATTCGTTCGTCATCTTCCTTGACTAGTATCTTATCCCATTTGCTTTGGGGTTTGTTGGGAGTACGTAATGAGTGAGTGTGTGAGACTGTGAGTTTAGTTTTACGCCGCTTTTAGCAATAATCCAGCAATATCACAGCGGGGACACCAGAAATTGGCTGCGCACATTGTGCATATGTGGGAATCAATCCCGGGTCTTCGGCATGACGAGCGAACGCCTTAACCACAAGGCTAACCCACCGTCCCGAGTACGTAATGAGTTTTAGGTAAAAAATGGTATATTTCCCCAGTGCAGGGCGTTGCTTTGATAAGGACTCAGTGATCAGTGCATTTCTCCGGCGCATGGCGAAACATTCACAGGGGCTTCTAAATACACAGTACATTTTCCTGGTGCGCATCATTTCCTGGTCACTCAATAACCTACTTGAAAGAGAAACTGTTATATCTATAAACCAGTAAAAGTGGAGAAATTAACAATAAAAAAAGACAATTTTAGGGGCGTGGCTACCATTATTAGAAAAAGCCTGGGCTTACACATGGTTTTGCTATCAAAGCTGGGCAAGAAGTCAATACTATCTAAATGTAAAGCTTTGCAACCTATCGGGCTTACACGAAAATAATGGTTTGCTACGCGCCTGAATTTGTTTGCCTTACATAGAGCACTGTCTGCCTTACCACTTACCCATCTTCCTTGATTGGCAATTTGTATTATTTGTTCGATGCTCATGACGTTGATCACCGTTTGTCTGGTCCAGACTTGTATTATTTATATACATGTAGCTAGAATATTGCTGAGTGCGGCGTAAAACAATCTTTTTGTGTGTTTGTTTTAGAGTACGGAATACGTTTTAGGTAAGCTGATCCAGATTGCAGATTGACAGAGGGATGATGGTGAAAAACTTTTACAGTTTTCCGAGCTGAACTTGCCAGGCGTACATTGGGCAACATCTGACGGATTGTCTGACAGGCTGCTCTGGTAGCCAATTTACAAAGCAACTGTATTTTTTGGTTTGGTTTTTATCATGTATAACAGACACTGATTCCGGGACAACTGAATGTCAGAGACAAAGCTCACGGGTTTTTATGAAATTTTCATTAGAATAACAATTTACGCAATACGGCATCTCCTCTTGAGATAGGGATGTATATGTACAAAATCCATTTTGAATCCGAGAAAAAGTTGAAAATAATTGAGTACCTGACAGCTATTCAATCATTTCTACTTCTCGATTGAGCAAAAAAGTGCTATCTTTCTTCCCCATTACACCAACAGAGATGACAGTTGAAGTGCGGGAAATGAAACGAGCTCTTGATAATGCTAATTCAAGGAGGGCTAAGGAAAAAAACAACAGCAAAAACGGCTCGGACAGGTTTGCGGGAACTATGGATTCCTGTCGATAATGCCGTGATGCTCCCATGGTCAACAGGCTGTGTAAAGTATGGCGTATTCTATAATTGGAGGTCCGTGACGATCGGGAGGTTAGAATTGATCTTCATTAACCCATGCTTGTCGTAAGAGGCGACTAACACGATCGGGTGGTCAGGCTAGCTATTCTCGAAACGTTCGTAGCCCTACGAACTTCTTAAGCCCATTCTTAACACATTGGCTACGATCAAAGTTAAGAATTCTTAGGGTTACGAACGTTTCGAGAATAAGGAGGTCAGGTTCGCTGACATTCTGACACATGTCATCGTATCTCAGTTGTTTAGATCAGTGCTCATGCTATTGATCAGTGGATTGTCTGGCGCAGACTCGATTATTTACAGACCGCCATTTAGCTGGAGTGCGGCGTAAAACTAAACTCACTCGCTATAACTGGAACACAGTGGCCCAACTGCCTGTTGTAGTGTAAAGTATGTTTGACATGGGTTTGAAGACAAGGATGGCCATGATTGTGGTTAATGAACCCTGGGCAATATATTTTCCCCAGGTTGGAACAGTATATCCGGCGGATTGTCCTTGTATGAAGATATATTGTGTTTGTGGGTGGAGGGACGGGTTATTGTCGTCTATTGTTGGAGGCGACTAAATTGGACAGATGACTGTACGGAGTGCCATCGTGCCTGGTCGTTGCTCATGTTCCCAACAACGTTTATGTCTGACCATAATAAATAAAACAAATACAATAAGAAAAAGAAATCACCATTGTTAGAGCGTTGTGATCAATAGGAACATTACTTACTGCGGCACAATTTGCAAAGCAGAGTTGCATCCCATAGCAGTGCTAGGATCCTGGTCATGAGTTCTAATTTGGTTTCACCAAAGAGGTAAACAAAGCAAAACCGAAATAAAATTAATTGGTTGTATTTCCCCGTTGAAGGGCGCTGTTTCCACAAGGGCTTTCTCGAGAATATTTCATTTTCCCATTTGAAAAGGGCTTTCGGGTGAATTACATTTCCCGAATATAGGACAAGGAAGGGATGCAGAACAAGGATTGACAGCCTACTGTCTGTTTAAGACATCAAATCTTACTTTCGGTTTTACATTTAATGCATACAATTTCCCTCAACACATTTATTGGTAGAGTGGTCCATAACATATGGCAATGAAGGGGGAAATTTGATAAAAAGCTTAAGTTGTCAGTCAGTGTGTTGACAGTAATACTTCAAAGTAAACCATCAATGTGAGGTTTCAAGTATTGAATTGAGAGCTACCGAGATATACATGTACATAAATAAACCCACAGAACTCTTACAAAACCAAATCATGTCATTCCAGAAAAATGAATGCTCCCTGTGTGATACAAAATGCATTGGCAGGTATGGTAAGGTGGAAAGATCATGAGAATTTCACACCATTTGTTAAACCACTCAAAACATTCTCGTCAGTCAGATTATTCCTGAAAATCTACAAACAGTCCTTTTCGTTCACACCATTGTAAACACCTGTTGCCTTCAATTCATTTCAGTGATCCAATCATATTATTTGTACTTCTATTTTGCTTTTGAGGTCGTTTAACGATTGGATTTGCTTGTTTATTTGATGTTTGTAGAAATATTATAGAATTTTGTAAATAATTGAGTATGAACCACAGAAACCACTGATCAAATCCATGAGCATCAATCTATGCAATTGGGATACGATGACATGCATCAACCAGCTAGCCTGACCATTTAGTCATCTATTACCACAAGCATTGGTTGCTGAAAAACAATTTTGACCTGGATCTTCAGTGTGGGCTCCAGTTTGGTAATACTATCTGTTAAAGTGTAATATTAGCAAATTACTGTAATTTGGAGAAAATACAACAAAGTAAAATTTTCAAGCTTATCTTCACTTTAATAATGCACATAATAATAAACCATTTACAACATATGAACATAAAGTAACATAATGCAGTACAACTGAGTACCTATAACAAGTGCCATTTGTATGCAAAGCATGGCATCACTTCACAATGTGTCCGTTTTGCACATTCACAGTTTTCACTTACAGTCAGTATCATGTTCAGTGTTATCTGGGGAAGTTAGTATAACTGGTTTAGTATACATTCTGTTTCACATTCAGATATAACTCTGTAGCTTGCATGGTTCCTGTGGGGGCAGTGGGGTAGCCTAGTGGTTAAAGCGTTGGCTCGTCACACGCAGAAGACCCGGGTTCGAATCCCCACATGGGTACAATGTGTGAAGCCCATTTCTGGTGTCCCCTGCCGTGATGTTGCTGGAATATTGCTAAAAGCGGCGTAAAAACCAAATTCAGTCTGTCAGTCATGGTTCCTGTGGGGTTACTGAAAGGAAAGGCCCACAATGCCACATATTTTGAATGGTGATCGGAAAGAAAGTCACAGGGAAAAAAGTCACGGACAAAAAGTCACAAATTTGGCTAGGAAAAAATGTCACAGGAGAAAAAGTCACAAGAGTGATTGTGTGGCTGTCCAATCTGACTTTTTATCTATGACTTTTTTCCAGTGACTTTCTTTCCTACATTCAATTGGATCTGGAACGACTGGGTGGTTACAATGAAAGATCTAGCTGACTGGGAGTCACTGTGCCCTGACAGCATGGATTGGTGTTCATGCTGTCAACCACTGTTTTGTCTGGCACAGATGTATGTTGTTTTCACAGCTTCAACCACTAGAAGCAGCTCATTCTTGGCACATCTGACATAGGCCCGTGTATAAAAATGCAGATTAATTTGTCATGTGTGCAGTAGTAGGAGGGAAAGGGTTAGATGTAGTGCCCCTTTGTCTGTCTGCTTGCAGGACCATATTAATCGGGTCTCTGACATTTACAAATTATTTGAAACCCACAAGCAGATATAGGAACAATCTAGAAACAGGGGGAACTTTATTATAGGTTCCTTGCATATCTATGACTGACTGAGTAACATTTTACACTTTTAGCAAAATTCCAGCAAGATTTTGAAATCAGAAATGCTCTTCACATATTGTACCCATGGGGGAATCAAACTCAGGTCTTCAGCATTCCTGAACGCTTAAACCACTGGGCTAAGCCAGTGCCCTGTATGTCAACTGCAGACCTGCAATGAATTTCAGAACCTTAGATGAATGGGTCACTGTGCCCCTAGCATGTCTAGACAAAACTCATGGGAATCAGGGTGAGAGATCATCTATGTAATAATGCATGACTGTGTAACATTACACCCGTCCAGAGACTATATACCGTATTTGATCTCGGACCAGTCATGCCAGTTTCTCAAGGTTAACAAAGACTGGCTTGATCAGGCTAATAGTGTACAACTGACTTATCTGTAAAATACCTTGGGAAAGTGTTCATATCCGGATACACATCTCTGATATTCCAGGACAGGTATGGTGGCCAAATTGTGATCTCTAGAGATCAAATTTCAAATCTGTTTTAACAATTCCCAGTAAATGAAAACTGGCAACACTGTCATTTCTTTACTGACTTTTACAACAGTTACAGTTATGAACCATTATCAGTGCCTTGTTTGAGTGGCATTTAGAAGTTGGTGTGATGAACAATGAGGATAGTTCTATGGATATACAACTTCTTTGATATAATATGAGCGACGTTTCGGTGTAGCTACTAACATTTGCTTGATAACAATGTTAGTAGCTACACTGAAACGTCGCTCATATTATATTAAAGAAGTTGTATATCCATAGAACTCTCCTCGATGTTCATTATCAGTGCAGAAATTAAAATATAAAAGACACTCTCTGTGCCTAATATCTGATTAGATAAGTCATACATTTATTCTTTATCTCTAACTATATCAGATAATGGCATGTGGCAACACAAATGCTTAAAGAGTGAAGAAACAGAATGATGTACGGACTCTCCAAGTTCATGGAATCTATGCACAACAATTTGAGCAACATATGTAAGGACAAAATACCACTGGTAACTTTTCATTCACAATTACCCGGATGTTTCGCTGTAGAATTCCTAGATGAGTCAGAGACACCTACAGCACGTCAGAGAGGCCTTCAACATTTTTCAGTTCAGAAAGAAACAGATGGTCTGGAAACATAACACTGTGTTTGCATGCCAGGAAAACCTTCACTTTTACCGGAATACTTGACAGCCTTAAATAAAGGTAGTTAATTCTTGCCTTGCAATCAGTGTGTGAAATAGCCACTGGCCCACTAGCCCATGGCTAGTAAAAAGCCAATTGGGCCAGTGAATCTCGACAGTCACTGGCCCGAATGGCTAGTGAATGTTCATGGGTCATTTTGTTAACATATCACACTCTCTGACTTGTTAAGTTATAATACACTTTTATCTCATGCAAGATTATGGCCTGATAAAAATGTCCATCATATTAGCATCTTACCTTTGTGTAATCCTTTGCTTAGTTTTTACATTCACATTTCGGACTAGTGAATTATTTTCTGACCTAGTAACTTTCAGGCATAGCTACCCCAACTGGCTAGCACAAGTTGGAAACTATTTTGCACACTGCTTGCAATACACATGCATATTTTGACCAGACATTTGTTGAAGCAAATACCACTAATTTTAACAGTTGTAAAGTCACACTCATTTTTTAAATGGTGCATATACTGATGGTTAAAAGTTAAGCAACTATCAGTGTACTTGTTCATTTATTGAAATTTCCTGTACCATATTAGCAGGTGGCCATGAAAGTGTACTGTTCGTTCGGTAAACAGTAAACCACTTCTGACAACATAACAACAACCATGACAACAAAAGCAATAATAAAGATAAATAACAACACTGTTTCGCTCCCAAAAGATGCAACCATTGTCAAAATGTAGAAAATCAAGTAAATTTTCAAACAATTCCCTTATATTCTCAAAGGATGAAAACCCACTTCACTTTCTTCAGTGGAAAATGAAAACACTGGAATTAAGCATGAAGATGCATTACTATTTACCATCAGTATAAAGGTCTGAGGTATTGAGATCCGCTTAAGCTTGCTGCACACTGGTCATATTTAAATTACAATTTAGCTTTTATAAAACAAAGTCATACCCTTCTAAAGCACACAAGCCCAGATAGCTCTCACACACTTAACACTTATCTAAACTGACCATTCACTAAGTATATCCACTGAAATACATATACACAATCAAATCTGTAAAATACATATGATCTTAGAATTCATTAATGTCATATTATTTCATCATTTACTGAATAAAAATCATAATATGCAACTGAGTTATTAAGAGAAATCACACACATCTTGCACACAATGGCGGAAACGTAGGGCCCTGTTTCATGAAGTTGTTGCTGTGCTTCGTCTACCACTCTGACCTAAACATTGGACTTATGACACTTGTAGCACTCAACTGCTTTGTGAAACTGGGACAGAACATTTACAATTTCCTCCTAGGGCAATAAATATTGACTATAAACAGTATGGGCTATTTACAATATATTTACAGAAGTTTTGTCGAAAATATTCCATACTGAAATGACACAAAGGCACACAACATCACAAAGGTGCTACAAGCACTCAATTTGTATCCTACTGTTACAGCAGGATCTTGGTCAATATGCCTTAACTATGAAAGTATTACACAATGTTTCCTTAAGAAAAAATAATGATACCTGAATCTGCTTCTGATTACTGTGAGTGTGTGAGTTGAGTTTTACGCCGCTTTCAGCAATATTCCAGCAATATCACGGCAGGGGACGCCAGACATGTGTTTCACACATTGTACCCATGTGGGGAATCGAACCTGGGTCTACGGCGTGACGAGCGGAGACTTTAATCATTAGTCTACCCACCGCCCTTCTGATTACAATGGACATCAGATATCACAATTTGATCACCAGAAATTCTCACAAAAGATTTGTATCTGGTGGTCTTGATGAAGAATTGTTTAAAAAATATTAAGTTCAGTCAAATCCAGTATATTCCCCTGTTTTGTATCAATATGTTACAGACGAAGGAACTTTATGATAAAAGTACTTTCAATTTAAACAATTCAGAGAAAATGGCAATGCCATATAAAATTTGAAATGAAAGGTCTTCAAAATTGAACAAACCTGTTTCCAAAGACTTACAACTACAAAATCTCTTAAAATAACTACATTTCCTCAATCCAATATTACCTAGTCAAAGTCATAATTCTAAAATTATAAATAATCCAGATGTGGAGACACAAACCTAGACAATAAAAATAACACTGAATCATATTGGAAAAACAAAATGAAACCACTGAAATCTATATGACCATCAAATAGTCAAAGTGAATGGGTCAAACATACCTTTTACATTCTAACAAAGAATGGTGTATATTGCCTAGCGTAATGAGTTGGATGGTAACAACTGAAGTACAAGGATATATTATATTTCATTCGAAAATTCTTTCAAGCTTCACATTCAAAATTCTGAATCTGGATGCCATTTTTTATGAACTCAAGCATAATCATCTGGCTCCTATCTTTTCAAGAGGAACTACAAAATGGTAATTTTAAAAAAATGAATACAAATTGTAGTTGCAATGGTAGATATCATCATGTTTTATTGTCTGTGTAAAAACGGAAGCAATCTGTCAGAATCCATGTTGTTTCACCAGTGATGTGGACCAGACAGTTGGTTCATTTTTATCTACTCTAATAAATACCATACCTCTCATGTAAAGGACGGACATATCACAAATATATTTTATATATTTTCGAAGCAAACCGAAGATGAGGGCGGGAAGAAAACAAAAATGTCGGTATTGAGTTAGGCAGGGATTCATCTTGGATGACCCTGGAGGGCAAATTGGGACTTAATTGTTATTGTCTTCAAAATTGGGACTTTCTTTTTTAACCACATTCAGAGTTATTTTACCATCGTGAATGATGTGAAGCTGGGACTAGATTTTCGATGCTCTCTTAGCGCTAAGATCAGTGTAAGAGCCATACATTAACATTAACTTACGACTATCGTAGTGTTAAGAGAGCTTCCGAAAATCTAGGCCCTGGGATTTAAAGTCTCTTCAACATGAACTGTTATCAGCGACATAGCCACAACATTAGATATAACTATATCAACATGAGTTTTGAAAATATTTAATTCCAATTTGTAACTTTAACATTTGCTGCAGATTTGGCTGAATGTTAGCCTCTGATTGGGTAGAAATAAACCCCAGTTTTGGTATCATTTTCCTTACTATTAATCTTGTAGACAAAATATTTCAATATACAATAAGATGTTATTAATTATTTCTAAATGCATTTATATTGTTTTGTCGTAAAAAGGACAGCTTCATCCTACCACAAGAAAAACATTGATATGATCAGTGGCTGATTTGGATTAAACATGAATGCTGCTAACACAAAGATATGCTTCCAGTGTCACACACAGCACTTGTAACCTACACAAAAGCTTGATAATCATCGCACGATAGATCTGAATTTCTCTCGGTTGACACATCAGTAACAAAAATTCACAAAATCAGTTTAGCACATTTCTTGCACCCCAAATACCACAGCAGATCTATATTCCAAATAACAAACAACTGAGAGATGTTCATGTACAGGTAGTTATCATGTTTAAGTACTGCCTCGCTGAATGATGATGTCAATATGGTCACTGATATTTATTGGAGGGTAAAGTTCAGTGATCTTTCAAGAGGAACAAACGTTGACAGCAATGATTTAAATCAGCTGGAAGCACAGAAGCTCACCTTTGTTGAATAAAATTTTGAGAGTTGAGATATTAAAAAAATATTATAAGCTCTCTGAGACAAATATTTTTTCGCTGAATCAAAAAATTTACTGACATTACCAATTTGCTATTTTTGTGTGTGGATACTGTCGTGACTTGCTCAAAAAACCTATAGACTGGACTCAGGCTCTACACTGAAGACTAGAAACATTTTGAATAACAGAATATTTTTAATATATCTATTTCATGGTTTGTTGCTGAAGTGAACATTGCTATTTTGCATGTTTACAGATTGTTTGGAGGAATGGTCTGATAGACAGGTTATGACATTATGGTCTGAAGAAGAAAAAAACATCTGCATAATTACAAACATTGTAGACAAGATTGCCATTTTTATTCAAGCCTGTCTGACTGAATATGTCACCCTATCATCACAATGTTGACGTATTTACAATATAAAACAGCTCAAAAGCCACCTATACAAATTGACATGAAACAAATTCCTGTTTCTATATGAAACAATATTGAAGTTGTTAACCATATAAAACTTCACATTCTACCAACTTCTATCAAGGACTGCACTCTATACAAATGTCATGGCAACTACACATTGAAACCACTTGTTTTCATTTACAGAAAAAATAAGTTTAGGAACCACCATCACGTGAAATACTTTTTGCTTGGTTTTACAAAAAAATCAACATAATTTGACAACCAGTTGCGTTTGGGCAAAACAATTCACCACCAAAGAATGATATTCTTATCTTGGAATGTAAAGCCTGTTTAAACAAGAAAACAATGTAGAGATTATTTATGACTATTTGTGGCTCTCTATAACATGTTTGTTTTGTTTCCCTAAAAACTTCAAATACCAAACACACAAAGCATAATTTACATAATTATTTGTATTATGCACATTTATAATATCACAGAAATTGACATTGATACATGAAGAACTTTCACTGATTAACCAAGCTACATTATTACATTTTGTTTACCTTTGGGATAAAACACTCTGAAGTGACATTACTGAAAATAATAATATTTTGAGAGCAAGTTTATGTTTCGTAATTCTGTATGGTTTTGGCACACCATGGTTGGACTAGGGTCATGTCCTTGTGAAATGAAATGAATAAAACAAATTTGTTTTGATCACACTTTTTCATGCATATGTTTTACCAAAATAAAATATTAGAGAAACAATCATTATATTTCCCAATAAGGTTTTCACTGATAAAGCTGAGGGTGATTTCTTTGATCATTGAGATATAGAAATCAAATGTTTGTATCCATTTAAACAATTACCTGTATCAATTTAACTAGTTACCTGTATCCGTTCAACTGATTACCTGTAGTCATTTGAATCAGCTGTTTGTAATTTACAAAAAAATGTAAAAAAAGGCACACAAAAAACATACTTTTTGGTACAGCAGGAAGTATCAGTAAAATAAAACATGTTTTTTTTCATATGCTAATGATTTTGAATGGGCTGCAAATACACCAATGTTTTACTCACATAACTATCATAGAGTCAGACCATTTGATAGCATAACAAGAACAAGCGAACACTTTTTGTGAATTTGACTATTTTCTATTTTTTGAAGGAGCAAGAACACAGCCTTCCATTTTATCATTTTACTGGTGTTCAATAAGATACAGTGCTTATCTTTCCAAACTTACTAATCTGCCTAGTCGAGAGATCAAGCGCTCCAGGAAAGGAAAAATCCCATTGCACAGAAAACTAAAATCGATTCCTTAGAATACATCATAAAGGTGATGCTACTCAGGTACAACCCTGAACAAGTCTACTGAAAGGCCTTACTGAAGACGAATGCAACCCTGCTCACTCTTGCTAGTGTGAGGAAACACTGAGAATATTGGGGTCATGTGTTCAGACGGTGATCTTACAAACAAACGGCAGGGAACAATGGTGAGCATTTGAACTTTTACATAAAACAGACTTTGTGTTTGCAAAAACATCTAAAAAGTATGGTGTGTTGACATAATAAACTTCTATCAGAATATGCAAGAAAAACATTAACCATGGACATAAATCCCGAAACTCTGATCTTGCAATTTAATGCATCCTGAACAGTACATTCGACGATAGGTACTCACAATCTCTTCCTGCTTTTCTCTGTGAGAATGTGACTCATTTCTTCTTGAAAACATTACCATACACGCTCGTTCATGTAGAGGATGGCAAAGTCAAGTGATCTCGAGTGAGATGTGTAACAGTCAAACTGGAGTGCCTTGATTTTGTGCACCATATTCGAGGACATGTGCATTTTTCATAGTCAAAATCTTTGGTTTCAAATGAGAGAACAATTTGTAAGTGATAGTCAGTGATAGGTAACTGTGAGACTATTTGTACTCAATTCATTCATCATAATCATTGGTGAGAAAATGATACACAAATGCAGCCTTCTTAGCCTCTTCCAACCGTGCCTTTTCCCTGCGGGCTAAAGGTGACCCGACCTCCTTGCCTGGCCTTGTCCTCAGGAACACATTGCCGAACAGGGATGCTGAAATGACAAGAAAATTTATGGCTTAGTACTTGGCTGGTTGGTTTGTTGTTTAACACTGCACTCAGCAATAATTTGGTTATATGGTGGCGGTCTGTAAAAAATCGAGTCTGGACCAGACAATTCAGTAACCAACAGCATGGGCATCGATCTACTTAATTGGGATGCGATGACATGTGTCATCAGTGAGCCTGACCACCCTGTCCTGTTAAGTCACCTCTTATGACAAGCATGAGTTACTGAAGATCAATTCTAAACCAGATCTTCACAGGTTATGGCTTAGGAAACAACAAATGGGATTCACACATCACATTTCACCCACTGAGAACAAAACTCAGGCCTCAGCATTATGAGTGAATTCTTTAACCACTTGGCTACCCAACTGCCATGCACAGGAAATATATATTATACTGAAAACTCTATGAACTAACCAAACTTAACATCTATACATTATCCTGTATCTGTAAAAGTACAATGGCCCGAATCTCATCACCCAACTTTGATAATATATTGATGCCATTACGTCATACAAGTCTTCCATATTTGCTCAACTGATGCGAAACTCCCTGTGAACTCAATCAACTCTATCAACTCAATCAACATAAAGTCTCCTCTTTGTCTCCTTAATCAATTACACTTCCCAGAACTAAATGCCTTCAAATGTATTTCTTTGTTATTAGACAAACAGGTTCCTTCTTCATCTTCCAAGAAGTAATGAATTGGCAAGAGGAAAATTACTCTGGAACTGTTTCATGATTTTCAACTGTCTGGTGCAGCTTTCTTGTGAAATGAGGTAAAGAAAGCCGATCGAAGATCATTTATCAAATGAAATTTGTTTGGATGAGATCAATAACAAAGCCCCAGTCATTCTATCAGCTCATGAATCGCTCCTCTCTGTGTGTCCACATTGCATATTTTGCTCATCAACTTCAGTGAGTTCCACTCCCCTGTGAAGGTGTCTGAGGAGGGATGTCAATTGCAGTGCTGTCAATGTACATATCTACTGGCCAGTATACAAGTGAGATCAAACAGGGAGGATGTCAGCCATGTATGGAGTGGCTTCAAAGCAACATGAACCTACTGGGTGTGTGGAAGTAATGCTAGCTTTGAAATGAGGAAGCTGTTTCACATCAAATTATCATTATTTATAATCATCTCTGACAGTAGATGTTACATGGTGCATACACAGTGAGTGAGTGAGTGAGTGAGTGAGTGAGTGAGTGAGTGAGTGAGTGAGGGTGGGTGGGTGGGTGGGTTTATTTGGTGATTGGGTGAGTGGGTGGGTGGGTGGGTGGGTGAGTGAGTGAGGTGAGTACTTCTCACACCAGGAGTACTTCTGCCATATTGTGACTAGAGCATTTATTTATTTCATGCCACATGAAAATCAACCACTAATTAATCCCAGAATTAAATGTAAAACTGTCAAGAACACCTAAAATACATGGGAGTTACCATCTTCCTAGTGCTATGTTTGTTGTAAGCCTACGTTATACCACATAACATGCTTATAACCATGAGTAACCTTATTATATACATCTTGTCAAAAAGCATGCACCGCCAGATTTATAGTGAATAGCAAAACCATGTGGAATGTCTATTCCTCCTGTGGGATTGTGTGTGTTGCCACACAATCTGCATGTAGAATGGTTGCCATCTTAAATGGCACAAATTTGATGTGGGTTCACATGATCCTTATGCACACCTCATGGGTGCCAACATATTTAGCTATCTTTAGTTCCAATGATTCTGACTGAATGTGCTACCAATCTGAAGATCTTACTTTGTAAACAACAGTAAATGTGAAATGCTTGAGTGTGCCATACATGTACCAAACTGGGCTCTCATGTTGGGTATAATGGAACAGTGTTGAGTGAGTGAGTGAGTATGGTTTTACGCCGCTTTTAGCAATATTCCAGCAATATCATGGTGGGGGACACCATAAATGGGCTTCACACATTGTACCTATGTGGGGAATCAAACCCGGGCCTTCGGCGTGACGAGTGAATGCTTTAACCACTAGGCTACCCCACTGCCCCGGAACAGTGTTGAATGTTATTATGCTAATCACAGCCGTTTAATTTGCAAACAGAACATGACTGGACAGGAGACGGATCTGCTGAAACAATTCAGGTAAAACTGGTCTTCAGCAACCCATGCTTGTCGTAAGTGGCAATTAAAGGGATCGGGTGGCCAGGCTTGCTGACTTGATTGACACATGTCATCGTACCCTAATTGTGTAGATCGATGCTCATGATGTTGATCACTGGATTGTCTGGTCCAGACTCGATTATTTACAGACCTCCACAAAATAGCTGGAATATTGCTGAGTGTGGCGTAAAACTAAACTCACTCACTCAAGCAAACCAAACTTGAGAGACAGGGATACAGCTTATCAACAACACAACCAAACAGGAAACTGTGCCATTGGATGGAGGCTCTGACATAGGTTTGCTGTTACCATGACTGCAAGCTTCACTTGCTGAAGGTCCACGGGGCATTAAATGTACAATAGTACCAGCATACTATATTGTAGTGGTGGTCCGATTAATTGAAATAATCGAAGATTGGTCGCAGTGACTAAACGACCAAGCAATCGATCATGTTTTCTCATAATCAAACAAACAATTCTAGAACACTTGTTTTCATTAACAGTATTTTTCACTAGGTTGGTTTTGTCTGTTACATTTCATAAGCACTACAAGCTCGTTCCAAGTCATGATTGAATTTATCTTAAAGACTCTAAGAAATTTATGTTCCTCCATACTAGTCATCCTTTAAAGATGTGAAATTTTGCCAAAAAAACCCCAAAGAACTACATGGTTTTTCCTTATTTTTTTGTGCATTAACACATTCATAAATGACGCTAATTATAACCAATTATTTCGATGATTGATCGGTTGTAATGAACCAATCATCAATTATGAGATTTTAACCAATTCCCAACACTACTATATTGGATAGTAATGTTGTGCCACATTTTGATAACCACCTACTGGCTTCACATCCTGGGTTGGTGGATGACAATGCTCAACCCCATCAAGTACAATCTGTAACAGGTCATATTCAGAACAATACCACAAAGACACTGCCTAAGCCTGCATGAAGTCCAGATCTAAACCCAACAGACCACCGATGGGATCAGTTGGGATGCACAGTTAGAGCAAGGGACAATCCAGCACAGATGTTCATAACCTGACCCAAGCACTGCCTGAGGAATGGCAACAGATTCTCCAGTGTTTGGTCATGTGGAGGCGATTAGCTGATGTGCTCTGTGCAAGGGGAGGCAACTGGTGGCTACTGGCTACCGCGTCCCTATGACATGTATGAAGTTTCTATGACACATAGGCGGATCCAGAAGGGGTGCAGGGTGCGCACCCCCTTTGTTCTGAAATTTTATTAAATGACCATTGAAACTCGGGTGAAAATGAAATGTGCACCCTCCCTTTTCTCAATAGTATGCACCCCCTTTCTAAAATGCTGTATCTGCCCCTGTGACACTTCTGCCTAGTTCTATCTGGTTCATCACTGACAGCTTTAATGCCAACAATGCCAACATATATTCTTTATAACAGTCCTTGAAGTCACTGGCAACTTAATGTGTCTTTTTTATGAGAAAATGCACATTTTGTTATTTTTCTTCAAACGAAAAATTTGTTTGATGTTCAGTGACAAATGTTTCATTGTAGGAAGGAAATATTCCTTCCTGTCTCTAATTAGCCATCTCCTTTCTAATGGTAAAAAATATTGGTGGTGCGATACTTTTGATGAGGTGTGCAGTCATATTACATCCCAACAACACTATTATAACTTCAACCAATGCACTTCATTGCCAACAATACACATCGACACCCACCGCCTCTGTGGTGTAGTGGTTAGAGCGTCCGCCCGGAGAGCGGAAGGTCGCGGGTTCGATCCCCGACCGCGTCATACCAATAGATGTTAAAATATGATACTTGTTGGTGCCTGCCTGGCACTCGGCATTAATGGGTACAACAAGGACTGGTCGGCTTGGAGTCAGTATAATGTGTCTGAGTGGGGTATTCATGCTTCACTGCAGCATGGTATCTCAGTGGGCTAGCACTATAAAACCAGCTTCAGTCTGGGCTAGTACAAGCAGCCGCACATATACATACACACGCATGCACGTCGTCATATGAGCGAAATATTCTCAAGCACGACCTTAAACCCAATTTCACCTCACCCAACATATCGACACCCATGTTACATATCTACAACCATATAGCATATTCACAACCATTTATCACATATACTATCATACTACATATCAACCCCAATATACCATGCCTAGACCCATGTTACATACATTATAGATTTCATTATGGGTGTTTTCATATTTTCCCTGTTATATACTTCAATGTCAGTCCTATTGGTCTGAGGCAGGCTGTATTGGGTCACGGCTACAAGCAGAACAGCACAACTGCTACTGCATGGGCCAAGTGTAGGAATGTCACGTTTCAAAGACAGGGACTGACTGAGTGAGTGAGTGAGTTAAGTTTTACGCCGCTTTTAGCAATATTCCAGCAATATCACGGCGGGGGACACCAGAAATGGACTTAACACATTGTGCCCATGTAGGGAATCGAACCCGGGTTTTCGGCGTGACGAGCCAACGCTTTAACCATTAGGCTACCCCACCGCCCCCAAAGACAGGGATGCTTGACTATAAAGAAATATGAGAACACGTTTTGACCTTGTCATTGTTGGCGCCAAAGGTAGGTTTCTGTTAAATGCAAAACACACAATGCACTTCGCTTGGATGAATCAGTGAGCATGGTTTTCATCCGCTATTAGCAATATTCCAGTCCATCATGGCGGGACTTTGATGACAGGTGCAAGAGACATTAAGATCACTGAGAGTGGCCAAAAGATATATATTAATGTATAGTTACCAAGGAATTTGGCTTCAAGATTGTTCTTATCACTGAATTTAAGTAGTTCTCTGAGGAAAGCACACAGGTATTTGAAGACGTTTCTGTGACTCTGCGGAATCTTTTGTAATGCCTGAAACAAAATAAACACATGGTCACCAATTACATATCAAACAGAATAATCTGTCTTGAAATATAATAAATAATACATAAGTAATTTTTCATTAAAGTTAGAAGTCTATCAGTGTGTCTACATGCGCGGGAAAGGGCAAAAGGGAAGTAACTCGTGGGTGAGTGTATTTATACGTCCGCTTCGGGAACGTTAAGGGATTCAAGTGTTTCCACTACCATTCGAAAGGGAAAGGGAGATAAGCAAAGATCATGAGTCAGGATAAGTATAAAATATCAATTTATGCTAGATACATAAGCTGATGAGTTGCAGTGGGATTGGATACAAAGTAGTGAATGATATCTCTCTTCTTTTCAAAGTCTAAGACGCAACATATGCGCTTAGTAGCCATGATTCTTCCATGGCAAACTGGGGGTGAGTAGGACTACTTAAAGCATTAATGTGAGTAGGACTACTTAAAGCATTAATGAGTTTGGTCAATTAATCTGAGTCATGTCAATTAACCAGTTAAGGTGTGTATACTACATGACATACTTGACTTAATCCTCTATACTCCTTGAGGAGCACCGGGCCTCACCATGGATACTACATGCAGCCAGTGTAATTGGCACTATAACCAGGGGGAAATGACTTTTGTTCAAAAACCATTGGCAAATGGCATCATATCCAGTTTGGCATTATAACCAGGGTGCACTGTATTGGCATACACTGTAGGGGATGATGCAACAGTTGTGATGCACTGATGCCAGTATGACCTAATTTATTTGATCTTTCCTCTTAAGTGAATCAGGCAACCAAGTACATCCTATTCCATCTTCAAAATACCAACATAGTGTGTTTGGTTGATATCCTGACTACACAGACATACCTGTTTGCTGAGCAGGAAGTTATTGGAACAGTCCAGGCAGGTCTGATATTGGGCAAAAGGGATGACCGGCTGGGGGAGGGACTCAAGGAACAGCAGCATCGCCTCGGCCACGGAGTGGACACTGCCAGCTGGGGGAGGTCAAGGATGTTACACACAAGGGTTGGATGAGAAAAATGATTTTCATAAATTCTCTAAAAACCTCCCTTCCTCAATCGGGCCATTAAACGCAATCACCCTCATCATCATCATTATAATATCAGGGGCGGATACAGCTTTTTGAGAAAGGGGGGATGCACACTTTTGAGAAAAGGAGGTGTGCACACTTCATTTTCACCCGAGTTTCAATGGTCATTTAACAAACTTTCAGCACAAAAGGGGGGTGCGCACCCCTGCACCCCCTCTCTCTCTCTCTCTCTCTCTCTCTCTCTCTCTCTCTCTCTCTCTCTCTCTCTCTCTTCTCTCTCTCTCTCTCTCTCTCTCTCTCTCTCTCTCTCTCTCTCTCTCTCTCTCTCTCTCACTCACTCACTCACTCACTCTCTGGTTCCGTCTATAAATATCAACATTACTGTTCAACTTTACAGGTGTATGGTTGGGCTTATGGATAGGCTGCTTGTGTACACAGGTATCCCTCGCCATAATGCAGGTCTTGGGGTCCATAATACGAAATGCGGAATACAGGCAAAGTAAAATCATATTTTCCATGTGCATTGCATAACTGTTATTTCGTGTATTGTGCCCAGTCACAATGATGTCATATCATCGGAGGTGAACACACTAAAGAGTTTACAAATTATTAAGAAGAAAGAACTGATAAACTGAAATACTGTTGTCTTGGCTTTATTGTAGAACAAGATGAATGTTATCAGAGAAAGGATACGAATGAGATCAGGGTTGCCAGTGTCCAGCGCATCTCGTATCATCTGTATTTCTGCCTGTTTGCCTGGTTGAAGAAACAGGTCCTCCTGCAACATTGAGTTAGTGAGTCAGTTTTAATGTCAGGATGGGTGTTATACCCAAAGATAACAGTTCTGTTATTGACATAAGTAACACACTCGCAATTATTACTTAGTACAAAGACATAAAAAATGTTATGTTCCTTTAGCATGTATTCAACATAAGATGACACATTGACGAATGCATGTTTGAGTGTCAAGGTTACTCTGGCTCATGAGGCCATGGCCGTGTTTTACTACTGTATTGTCTTGTCTGTTTCCTATGCATTGGGAGGGGCGGTGGGGTAGCCTAATGGTTAAAGCGTTGGCTCGTCACGCCGAAGACCCGGGTTCGAATCCCCACATGGGCACAATGTGTGAAGCCCATTTCTGGTGTCCCCCGCCGTGATGTTGCTGGAATATTGCTAAAAGCGGCGTAAAACCAAACTCAGTCAGTCAGTCAGTCCTATGCATTGGGGGTGGTGGGGTAGCCTAGTGGTTAAAGCGTTGGCTCGTCACGCCATAGACCCGGGTTTGAATCCCCACATGGGTACAATGTGTGAAGCCCATTTCTGGTGTCCCCATGTGTGAAGCCCATTTCTGGTGTCCCCCGCCGTGATGTTGCTGGAATATTGCAAAAAGCGGCGTAAAACCAAACTCAGTCAGTCAGTCCTATGCATTGGGGTGTTGGGCCAGCCTAGTGATTAAAGCGTTCACTCATCATGCAGAAGACCTGGGTTAATTCTCCACTTAGGTACAATGTGTGAAGCCCATTTCTAGTGTTCTCTGCCATGATATTGCTGTAATATTGCTAAAAGAGGTGTAAAACCACACTCACTCACTCACTCACTTCTATGCATCATGGCAGCTTAGTGATGAAGCAATACCCAAGCTGGTGCATGTCATAGACACTTAACCCCTTGAGTGATACAACACTGCTCCAAGAGTATCAACAGATTGAATCTTGTATTAATTTTGAAAGTCATTGCCATCTCATCCTGCACTGCAAGGGATACAACTCTAAGCAGAAAATCAGGAACTCTGCACCAAACATAACAATGTGGCAAGTTGGTATAATTGATAACATAATAATTGCAATAATTTTCAAAATTCCATCAGGCACCTTACAAAAACAAAACAAACTTACCTGCTCCTTGCCATATTTGAAGAGGTGATTCACAAGACGTGATATTTCTTTTGGACAGATATACGGTTGAAGAGAGCTGTCAGCAGTGGTGTTTGTCCTCATAGATGTCCCCTGAGAATATGGGAGGAGAATCATTTACATATGTCATACAGCATCTATGTTCGAATACAACAAGGCATTCAGAGATTGAATAGAAAAACTTGACAGTTAACGCAATCATCATTAGAATGTAAACATTATTGTACAATTTAACAGGCGTGAGGTTGGGCTACAGACAGGTTGCATGAGTATAAATAAGGTGAGGTGAGGTGAGGTGAAATTGGGTTTTAACGTCGTGCTTGAGATTATTTCGCTCATATGACGACGTGCATGCGTGTGTATGTGTATGTGCGGCTGCTTGTAATAGCCCAGACTTAAGCTGGTTTTATAGTGCTAGCCCACTGAGATACCATGCTGCAGTGAAGCATGAATACCCCACTCAGACACATTATACTGACTCCAAGCCGACCAGTCCTTGTTGTACCCATTAATGCCGAGAGCCAGGCAGGGACCAATAAGTACCATATTTTAACGTCTTTTGGTATGACGCAGTCGGGGATCGAACCCGCGACCTTCCACTCTCCGGGCGGACGCTCTTACCACTACACCACGAAGGCGGCTAGTATAAATAAGGCCTTATCAATTATTAAGATGGGATAAATTTTCAAATTCAAACGATGTGAAACAGTTTGGATATTCTGCTGACTTCTAACATATTCCAATGGTTCCTTTCAGGTAGTAGTAGTAGTAGTAGTAGTAGTAGTAGTAGTAGTAGTAGTAGTAGTAGTATCATATCATTATTCCCAATTATCTGCAGGATTTTTAGCTTATTCTGAACAACTTAAGCAGCCTTTACACGGCAAACTAAAGTTTGACAACACGTGTTGTCAAACTCGAGTTTGAGAGTGTGAACATTCCAACAACTCGCCACCAACACCAATTTCAGAGTTGTCAAACTGTTGTCGAGAAATAGGATCGGTCTCTATTCTCACCAACTTTTCCATCAAACTTTGGGTGTTGTCAAACTCGAGTTTGACGTGTGAAGTGTTGTCAAACTCGTGTTGTTCAGAAACAACCAATCACAGTCAACGAAATTGTCACGTGACTGCACCGATACAGACATGGCGCTCAAATGACACGAAAGTTTGACAACATGTGTTTGGCGTGTGAATACGCGAGTTTGACAACTTTTAAAATTTCAACAACAGGTGTTGTCAAACTTTAGTTTGCCGTGTGAAGACCGCTTTAACCTATTAGAACAACCTAAGGTGATACCTTTCCCATAGTTTCACACCCCAGTGACTGATGTTAGAGCCTTATCCAGCCTGCACATAATCAGCATGGACAACCAAGTGATTGATATTATAAGCATGCCAAGCCACTGGGAACAGTAATCAGTAATCAACACAGTCACTCAGCCTGACCATCCATCCAAATTGTACACCATCCAGACCAGTGATAGAGAGGTGGGGACTATTCAGACTCGTATCTCCACTGGTAGAATTGCAGTGAAATATTCTTACAAATGAGATGAGGTCTCCAACTGCGACTTCTCTGATTGGCCCATGCATCTGGACAAGTGTCTCGATTGGTGTTCCATAACTACTGGGGATGTACTTTCCACTGACAGGAATGTGTGGTGGTTAAGGAGTGAAATTGGTAAAATGATTCATTAGCCATTACAGGGGTGGAAATAACCCATTGCCCGACGTCCGAGTCCAGTGGTTTTTCTGTCGGGCAAGCAAATTTGTATATCACACTGTACCGGTGTCCAGTTGACTTTCCAATGTTAATTATGTAGTTTATTAAAAAAATCAACAAGAAAGCGGACGGTATAGTGAGAAAATTATCAGGGCAAGTGATTTTACATGTGCCACTGTACCGGAGTACACTAGCAATTTTAAAGTTATTTCCACCCCTGTCATTAAACACACAATTACACTTTTATAATTTACATCCAAGACACTTGCAAGAATAGCTTCTTTAAATGACATTTAGAAATTGGTGTAATTAACAAGGGAGATAATTCTATGGATATACAGCATCTTTCTGTGGCACAAATGGACTTTATTTGTGGCCCAAGTCACCCTCAAACTATACCACCCAAATATCTTTATTACAGTCAGTGTGATGTTTCGTTGGGACACTGAGGATGTTACGCGATGATGACAGTGTACAGTCAGTGCTTTTCAAGTCGGGCAAGCAAATTTGTATATACTGTACGGTGTCAGTTGACTTTCAATGTTAATTATGTTGTTTATTTAAAAGATCTATAGTGAGTCAGGGCAAGTGATTTTACATGTGCCACTGTACCGAAGTACACTAGCAATTTTAAAGTTATTTCCACCCCTGTCATTAAACACACAATTACACTTTTATAATTTACATCCAAGACACTTGCAAGAATAGCTTCTTTAAATGACATTTAGAAATTGGTGTAATTAACAAGGGAGATAATTCTATGGATATACAGCATCTTTCTGTGGCACAAATGGACCTTATAGTAAACGGACGGTATAGTGGAAAAATTATCAGGGCAAGTGATTTTACATGTGCCACTGTACCGGAGTAGACTAGCAATTTTAAAGTTATTTCCTCCCCTGCAGTCTTTGGGCATGATGATGGTGTTATCCACGCTGAAATGTCTCTGACACAATTGGCCAAATGACACATTTAACAAGCAGCAATGAATGATATTCCAGCTATTTCATGGCAGCCTGTAAATAGTGAAGCCAGACAAACGAGTAGTCCACAATATAAACAATGTTCCAAACAACTGGTTTGGGATGAGACTAAAAGATAGAGGTTTACTAATCAGACAAAATAATAAAATCCAATTTAGAGCTATTGGTTCCTACAACAGGCAGAGGGTGTCAAAGGTCCTCATCTCAGTGAACAGGAAGCATAGTGTAAAGGATATGAAGAAATCTTTGCCACCAGTCAGGTGAAGCACCAGAATATCATCCATCTTCTCGGCCTTGGAATTGAGATCACCAGCAGTGTCCTTGTCCACAAACACCATTAGAGATATGTCGCAGCAGTCCCCTGCAGATAAACATACAAACACCATTAGTGATATGTCGCAGCTGTCCCCTGCAGATAAACATACAAACACCATTAGTGATATGTCGCAGCTGTCCCCTGCAGATAAACATACAAACACCATTAGTGATATGTCGCAGCTGTCCCCTGCAGATAAACATACAAACACCATTAGTGATATGTCGCAGCAGTCCCCTGCAGATAAACATACAAACACCATTAGTGATATGTCGCAGCAGTCCCCTGCAGATAAACATACAAACACCATTAGTGATATGTCGCAGCAGTCCCCTGCAGATAAACATACAAACACCATTAGTGATAGCTGTCCCCTGCAGATAAACATACAAACACCATTAGTGATATGTTGCAGCTGTCCCCTGCAGATAAACATACAAACACCATTAGTGATATGTCGCAGCTGTCCCCTGCAGATAAACATACAAACACCATTAGTGATATGTCGCAGCTGTCCCCTGCAGATAAACATACAAACACCATTAGTGATATGTCGCAGCTGTCCCCTGCAGATAAACATACAAACACCATTAGTGATATGTCGCAGCTGTCCCCTGCAGATAAACATACAAACACCATTAGTGATATGTGCGCAGCTGTCCCCTGCAGATAAACATACAAACACCATTAGTGATATGTTGCAGCAGTCCCCTGCAGATAAACATACAAACACCATTAGTGATATGTTGCAGCTGTCCCCTGCAGATAAACATACAAACACCATTAGTGATATGTCGCAGCTGTCCCCTGCAGATAAACATACAAACACCATTAGTGATATGTCGCAGCAGTCCCCTGCAGATAAACATACAGACACCATTAGTGATATGTCGCAGCAGTCCCCTGCAGATAAACATACAAACACCATAAGTGATATGTCGCAGCAGTCCCCTGCAGATAAACATACAAACACCATTAGTGATATGTCGCAGCAGTCCCCTGCAGATAAACATACAAACACCATTAGTGATATGTCGCAGCAGTCCCCTGCAGATACAAAACATACAGATAAACATACAAACACCATTAGTGATATGTCGCAGCAGTCCCCTGCAGATACACATACAAACACCATTAGTGATATGTCGCAGCAGTCCCCTGCAGATAAACATACAAACACCATTAGTGATATGTCCCAGCAGTCCCCTGCAGATAAACATACAAACACCATTAGTGATATGTCGCAGCTGTCCCCTGCAGATAAACATACAAACACCATAAGTGATATGTCGCAGCTGTCCCCTGCAGATAAACATACAAACACCTTTGGTGAGACATACACACACGCACGCACGCAGGCAGGCAGGCACACACATCAGAGACATTACAAAGACATTATCAGAAAGCTGTACACTCAGGTTGCAATGCCACACTCACCAGTTGTGGCTCCAACTTTGTGGAACAGCCTACCAACATATATTAAATCTGCGTCCAGTCATTCCGCCGTGACTTGAAAACCTATCTCTTCAACCAATAACTCTGTTTATTTTATTATTTTATTCTTATTTTTAACCTTGTGAAGCACCACTGAGCAGCCATCGGTTGGAAATTAGGTGCTTTTATACAAGTGCATTATTATTATTATTATTATTATTATTTATTATTATCTCACTCATTCACTCACCTACATCCACTCACACACTCACCCGGCAGGATGCTGTCTTTACAAGGTGTGACATTCAACCAGGGCTTGCAGAAGCTGATGTCATCCAACTTGTTGATGAATTCAAACTCCACAGGCACCTGTAACAAGAACGCCATTGGCCAGTCAAGACAAGAAGTAATAGTCAGAGATATCTGACATATCAACCAATATTTATTTAATAATTACGACGCCAAATGGCATGTAAATATATCAGACTCGGAAGAAGCCACTTTTGAAAAAACGGATCTAATGTATTCTTCAATGAAGTGGAAAGATATTTAGAGTGCATGAATGACAAAGTGAGCAATATTCCAGCTATATCACAGCTGAGAAACAAGATAACCGCTGGTTTCATTTTATGAGTATCATACCTTGATGATACTGTGTTGCATGTAATCCCAGGATCTCAAGACATATGAAGACTCTGGACCCATCCTAACCCCAGTTCTGATAAGCAACAATACATGTATGTCCCTAAAAGAGGAGAAAGATTCTATAAAATGTATGGACAGAAACATTTACTCACCTGACCAATGTTGGCCACAGTCAGAACCCTCTTCTGTGGCTCGTTGAACTTGACGTCTTCAAAGACAAACTGAAATAGAAGCACAAGATTATATTCATAAACAATGGGCATAATTTTGTAAAATATTGATATTAACAATATTTTTTTAAAGTTTTGTCTACATAACCCTTGTGTTAATAGGGGTTTCTGTTAATAAAAGATCCAACAAGGGCCGTAACTCTGGGAAACAAACAAAAATTTGATGATGGCAATGATATGGATTCTTCAAGAACAAAACCTTGTCATCTGTTATGTTTAAATTAAAAATTACAGTTATTGATTCTCCAGTGAGACAACGTCCAAAGTAAACAACAAAGTTGTTTAATCTTCAATTATAAATTCACACTTATTTCCTGGGTTATTTTCCTCAGTTTCGTGTAAAGAAAATGTTTACATATTACTGCATAGGTGGGTAAGTTTCAAGTCATATTTCCTTACATTAGTTTCATTCACAAACCTAAATCTTCCTCTCTGAACAATAGGACATTAATTATCTTATGTTATCATGACTTGTTTGTTTGTTTGTTTGTTTTTCATGCTCCACTCAGTATTATTCCAGCTATCCAGTCTGGAACAAAAATCCAGTGATCAACATCATGAGCATCCATCCATGCAATTGGGATACGATGACATGTGTCAACCAAGTCAGCAAACCTGACCACCCAATTCCGATAGTCGCCTCTTACGACAAGCGTGGGTACCAATTCTAACCCAGGTCTGCTCGGGTTTATCCACCGACAGTGACCAACCTCTGTGTTGTCCAGCTTGACTTGTGGCAGATACTCATTCTCAATCCTGTCAAGCTTCTTCATCACATCCTCGTACACCTTCTTGGACTTCTCCACATCGATTACTCGGATCTGAAATACAGAATTATTCAGAACTATCAACAGATCTCCACACTGATTCTTCGGATCTGAAATACCGTCATTCGGAACTATCAACAGATCTCCACATCGATTACTGAGATCTGAAATACAGAATTATTCAGAACTATCAACAGATCTCCACACTGATTCTTCGGATCTGAAATACCGTCATTCGGAACTATCAACAGATCTCCACATCGATTACTGAGATCTGAAAAACAGAATTATTCAGAACTATCAACAGATCTCCACACTGATTACTCGGATCTGAAATACCGTCATTCGGAACTATCAACAGATCTCCACATCGATTACTGAGATCTGAAATACAGAATTATTCAGAACTATCAACAGATCTCCACACTGATTCTTCGGATCTGAAATACCGTCATTCGGAACTATCAACAGATCTCCATATCGGTTACTCAGATCTGAAATACCGTCATTCGGAACTATCAACAGATCTCCACATCGATTACTCAGATCTGAAATACCGTCATTCGGAACTATCAACAGATCTCCACATCGATTACTGAGATCTGAAATACAGAATTATTCAGAACTATCAACAGATCTCCACACTGATTACTCGGATCTGAAATACAGTCATTCAGAACTATGACTATTTTTCTCTAAAATCTTTGAATTTAGAAGCGGAAGGCATAAGAAAAGCTTTTCGTATTTCTCTGCATTATACACAACTCTCACTATTTTTTGCATCAATTACATAGATCTGAAATACTTACTCATTCATAACTATCAACATTTTTCACATGAATTACATAGATCTGAAATTTATAGTCATTCATAACTAGCGACATTTCTCACATCAACTACATGGATCTGAAATGAAGAGTCATTCAAAACTATTAGCATATCTCAACATCGATAACTGCATTCCTTAACTTCTTTTGTGCAGTATGGAAGTGACAGTCATTGTCTTCAGTGATGACAGTATCAACCCACCTACGTCTCCATCTCTTCCGACTGTAGCAACACATTCCACAACCTATTCTCTGACAAACTTACCAGGTCTGTCTGTATACTGGAGTCTGGACGAGACAGAAGACCCATCTCTTCAGCATGTACTTTATCCTTAACCGTCTTCCCTACGTACCCTCGTATTCTCTTCATGTTTAGACTGAGAAAAAGCATGCATGAAAGACACATGCATCCTGTTGTCCCAACAACAGAAACCGTGACCCTATATTTCCTTGTGTTGAACAATGTGACTCAGTGTTAGATTGTTAAAGTGACTGATGGCTGATGACCAGTGTTATTACTTTCTTAGTTTGAAGTACACGCAGGGGCCATCTCATAAATCTGACTTTCATTTTACCAGCACAGACACCACAAGACATCACCAGTAAGGTAGGTTCACCAAAACATTTTTCTATATTTTATTTATTAGTCTCAATTTTGTATCTATTTTATCATGTTTTGTGTATGGTCCATGTTTAACAATTCATAACACAGGATCAAATATCTGTGTATATAAGAGCCTTATAACATTACTTCTTTGAGAGGAATACAGAAGTTGGAGCAGTAAGGAACGGTAACAGTAGATGCAGGGGTTCAAAAATCCCATCGCCCGACGCCCGGGACAAGTCAGTTTTCATTTGGGGCAATCAAATAATGGTATCTTACTTGTCCGTGGGCTACTAGATAATTTCCACTAATGATTTCAAACCGCAAATAAACTTGGATTTAATTTCATGTCTGCTCAAAATGTAGCTATTACATTTCGCAATGATAATAAAGTAGAGTTATCTTTCTTTGCTATTTATAACTTTTCAATAAATAGTCCAGTAAACATTAACATCAAATATCAAGTTGATTTCTTCTTTCATAATTACATCATCATAATTATGTCATAAAATCAGGGCAAGTGGAAAATTAGTCTGGACAAGTTACTTTCCTAAAGTCACTTGCCCTGTGGCAAGTGGCTTTTTAAAATAATTTTGAACCCCTGAGATGGATGAACAACTTGTTTATTACAGTGAGAGTGACATTTCAGTTAAGGCTCTCGCTTGCTTGATAACAGTGTTAGAGCCTACACCAAAATATCACCGTAATAAAGAAGTTGTTCATCCATACATTGGTATCCCTCCCCCTGACATGATGCAATGGAGTCAGGATACAGACAAATTGACAACTCATTTCCTGAACATTATGGGCTGATGTTACAGGGGGTATGTTGTCGTGTTCGTTATTTGTGAGGTTTCTAGACCATCTTCCTGTTTCCTGGTTTAAATATAACCTAGCTTCCTGTAATATTGTAATATGGTACTGACTCATTGTGGTAATCACCAGATGTACCTTTGTCTACTGGTGGTGAATAACTGCATGTTGTGTAATGCCACTGTCAGGAATATTGTTGGTATGTCACTGTGACATGAAAGTTATCAAACCTGGACCAGTGAGAGACAGGATGATTGGTTGGTTGGTTTGTTGTTTAACGCCGCACGCAGCAATATTCCAGCTTTATGGTGGCGGTCTGTAATTAGTCGAGTCTGGACCAGACAATCCAGTGATCAACATCATGAGCACCGATCTACGCAATTGGGATATGATGACATGTGTCAATCAATACAGCAAGCCTGACCACCTGTTCCTAAAGGTCATATCTTACGACAAGCCTGGGCTGCCGAAGACAGGCGACTAACACAAGCAGGTGGACATGCTGGTCACCTTATCCCAATTGCTTAGATCGATGCTAAAGTGTTAATCACTGGATTGTCTGTCAATGGATTTTATTATTTACAGGCTGCTACTATGTAACTGGGATATTGCAGCATTAAACAAACACTACACGCAATCAGTCATGTTGCAGATCCTGTCCGCAGTGACCAAACGACCAAGCAATCGATCACATTTTGTCATAATCGAACACAAACGATTTTGGTACTACTGTTTTAGTGTTTGAAATAATTGACGATGGAACATATCTTAGAAGTTGTCAGGGCATGAAAACATGTTTAATTCTTAGAAAACGCACTTCACTGACTGAAAAGTCATGACTGAATATTTCTTGAAGAGTCAAGGAAATTTATGTTCACAATATATTAGTCATCACTTTAAACTAGCAAGCTGCATCATTTTGCATTGGATATGAAGTTTGCAAATGCTATTGGCACAGTTTCTAAATAAAACAAAAAACAACAGAGAACCATGTTATACTTATCTGCAATAACAACCTGAATAGGAAAATCTGAAAAATGAAACTAACCAATTTTTTTCGATGATTGCTTGTTGGTAATGAACCAATAATCAATTGTGAGATTTCAACCAATTCCCAACACTAATTTAGTTGACTCTTTATGTTGCTGTGGAACATTTTATACCAGAATAACAGGGTGTCTTAAGACAATAAAAATGTAATTTTGCTCAAATACAATGTTAAAACCAAATCAACTAACTCTCACAACAAGTATGGCATATTTTGTCTCCAAATGTCCCCAGAGTTCCACTGGAGGAACATCAGTTGAATATGTCACTGCGCTAACATTATCAGGAAGATTACACTCAAAATCAACAATGACAATATTTGTTTCTGTATTTTGCATCCTGTTTGTAACACTGACAAAGGAATTCTGTCTACATGGTAAACTTAAATGAGAAGAAATATCAACCAAATGCCCCTTCACTTATACATAAAATTGTCTACACATAAGATACAACTGAAACATTTACCTCTCCCATGTTGAACATGTGTCTCCTGTGACCCGATCAGGTTAGAGTGACATTGCTTGATATGAAACACATGATCTCAGAGCTTATCTAGGTGATAGGACTAACTGACTACAGGTAAATATTACCCAGGTGGAAATAAACAAACATGAAAAAACCCAAAATATTCCAGCAAGAAATAATGAAACTGGTAACTGCTTCTAATTTTCAAGTTTAAGGTAATAAAACTGGCAACTGCTTCTATTTTTCTAGTTTGAGGTGATAAAACTTGTAACTGCTTCTTTTATTTTTCAATTTGAGGTGATAAAACTAGTAACCACTCCATAACATGGACTTTCCTTCCAACAGAATCAGTGACTGATGCATCAGCTACAGGATCATTTGTCCTGGATACAGGATTATTTAGTGGTCTGCAATTCACTGGGCAGAGTTGTTTCCCTTAGCCATGTTAGGTTCAATCCCAGATTTGCAAGGACATGTATTTGTCTGTGAAGAACACCTTATCATGAAAGTATCTGTAAACAGAATCACTTCCACTCCCACTAAGTTGACAAACATTGAAAGCCTCATTAATTTCTGATTCTCATGCTATGAGAAGATTTTGGGAATTTTATAACTCGGGTGGTACATGTTTGAGGATGCAGATATGTCCTTTGGAAAAGACAGCACTGATAGGAAATATCATGAGAGTGTCATTGGTCAGCGTAACATGAATGGGAGTTTGCTTCAATTGGTTAGTTTATATATACGTTTTCTCAATTCTATCATTTTTAAAGATTTGAACATTGTTAAAAAACAAAAACAAGTGCTCCCCTGTAACAACAAACCATTTTACAGCTATTTCATTAAAATAAATCTATACCAAGTTTGATCAATCTATATCAGAACAACATGGATGTGGTATTTTTATCACATCCTGTTAACGAAGGAAGATTGTGTTGTCAAGGAAAGATGTACCATCAGCTTGCCTGCTTGACAATATGTCTCCCTCACAACTGCTCTGACGAGAAAGAGAAAATACTATGGACAACTTGTATTTAAAATGTTGACAAACACTATTAAAAGTAAGTGTAGCTGAGTATTTCCCCCAAAATTGTTCTCTCTTTATGCAGATTCCACCATTTAACTACAAGTAACACTGACAACAAAGGATATTTATGTTTATGTTTATCTCCTGACTGACTTACAAATTGTGTTGGGTGGTAGCCTAGTGGTTAAAGTATTTGCTCCTAATGGCCACAGACCGCCTCCGTGGTGTAGTGGTTAGAGCGTCCGCCCGGAGAGCGGAAGGTCGCGGGTTTGATCCCCGACCGCGATATACCAAAAGACGTTAAAATATGGTACTTGTTGGTCCCTGCCTGGCGCTCGGCATTAATGGGTACAACAAGGACTGGTCGGCTCGGAGTCAGTATAATGTGTCTGAGTGGGGTATTCATGCTTCACTGCGGCATGGTATCTCAGTGGGCTAGCATTATAAAACCAGCTTAAGTCTGGGCTAGTACAAGTAGCCGCACATACACATACACACGCATACATGTCGACACAACGTCATATGAGCGAAATATTCTCAAGCACAACGTTAAACCCAATTCCACCACCACCACCACCTAATGCCCACATGAGTCTAATGTATGAAGCCTATTTCTGGTGTCCCCTACCAAGATTTTGCTGGAGTATTGATAAAAATGGTCACTCACTCACTCACTCACTATGAATTGTCCTGTTTTGAAATTCCATGAGAAACCAAGCTCTATCTCATTGTGTAACTCCTTCCTTAACATCCCAGATAAGGTCAAGGAAATTATTTATCGCTGTAAGGAGTTTTATTGCAAAGCTCAAAAGCAAATATACCAGTTGCAGTTCTGTATGACAAAAGCACCTATGGGTTCTCAAAACTAACTGGTGCGAGAAGAGTTTTAAGAATATTAACATATTTTGTTCAGATCAAATTAAAGAAAAATACAGTCCTGCAGTCACTATTGGCCAGGTAGCATCCTCTTTCAAATACCCTTTGTGCCAGAAGAGTGAGTGAGTGAGTTCAGTTTCACGCCACTTTTTAGCAATATTCCAGGAATATCATGGCAGACACACCACAAATGAGCTTCACCCATTGTACCCATGTGGGGAATTGAACCCAGGTCTTCGGTGTGATGAGCGAATGCTGTAACTGCTAGGATACCCCACCACCCCTTGTGCCAGAAGAAGTTATTGTGTCTGAATCATTATTATTATTATTATTATTATATAGTATATTTATATAGAGCACACATCCATACAACTAGTGCATGCTCAAGGCGCTGGTATTTTTCCCTCGATCACTGGATGTCAATCTTAATGGCACATCGTATTATCAATCTCAACTCCCTGGGGAGTATACAACTCTTGCTGCCACTTGGCGCACCAAGTTATTGTGGCTTCTCATCCTAACGAGCTACCCATTCACAGCTGGGTGGACTGGGACACATAGTTTCTGATGAAAAAGGCCATAACAGTTAATGCTTTAATCAGCAGATTTTCAATATAGCTGTTTGAGAAACAAACTGAAACTAATTAATCATATGGTAAACAACATTAGATAATGGTTTATATTTCCAAATAACAAATATTTGCTTGAATAAAAGTTGGTGTAGCGTTGACTATTCGCATACAAAATATATTTGCAAATCATAATATCAAATTCTCATCAAATCCAGCTTTGCATTGATATACACAAACTTCAGCATACCTCAGATAAGCCTATTTTATGGTATGAAGGGTTGACAATGTAAGTGTAAGAAAGTCAACATCAAAGGGTAATGTTGGAGATACCGATCTCAGCATCAAAAGAGTGCTAAGGGCAGATAATTCAAGTCAGTGAAAGGAAAGGTCAAGTACAAATGATGAAGGTACCTCCTCGGCATCAAAGAGAGCACTAAGGGAAGATGATTGACAAGAAATCAGAAATCAGCATCCAAAGGTCAAGGACAGAAGATGGCGGTACTTACCCCAGCATCAAAAAGAGCACTGACTGGCTTGTGGTCGCTGACTCTGAGCTGTGGGTGTGAGTCGTACCGTATCTGTCGAACCCCAGCCCCCTTCCACAGTATTCTGTCACACCATGCTGGGACGCGACACTTCTCACTAGAAGCAACAAAAGGGTCAGAAATGTACACTCATAGTGTAAGGATCAAAAGAGTGAGTGAGTGAGTGAGTACTGTTTTACGTTGCTTTTAGCAATATTCCAGCAATATCAAAGTGGGTCACACCAAAGATGGGTTTCACACATTGTACCCATATGGGGAATCGACCCGACCTCATGACCTAACATGACAATACCATAGTGAGATAACAAGACTATACTGTAGTGAGATATCATGACTATACTATAGTGAGATAACATGACTATACCGTAGTGAGATAACATGACTATACTGTAGTGAGAAAACATGACTATACTGCAGTGAAATAACGTAACTATACTGTAGTGAGATAACATGACTATACTGTAGTGAGATAACATGACTATACTGTAGTGAGATGAGACTACACTCCAGTGAGATAATGTGACTATACTTTAGTGAGATAACATGACTATACTGTAGCGAGATACTGTGACTATACTGTAGTGAGATAACATGACTATACTGTAGTGAGATACTGTGACTATACTTTAGTGAGATAATGACTATACTGTAGTGAGATACTGTGACTATACTGTAGTGAGATATGACTATACTGACTATACTGTAGTGAGATAACATGACTATACGATAGTGAGATAACATGACTACTATACTGCAGTGAGATAACATGACTATACTGCAGTGAGATAACATGACTATACTGTAGTGAGATAACATGACTATACTGTAGTGAGATAACATGACTATACTGTAGTGAGATAACATGACTATACTGTAGTGAGATAACATGACTATACTGTAGTGAGATAACATGACTAGTGAGATAACATGACTATACTGCAGTGAGATAACTGTGACTATACTGTAGTGAGATGTACTACTATACTGTAGTGAGATAGGGAGATAATGTGACTATACTGCAGTGAGATACTGTGACTATTCCATAGTGAGATAATGTGACTATACTGTAGTGAGATACTGTGACTATACTGTAGTGAGATAATGTGACTATACTGTAGTGAGATAATGTGACTATACTGCAGTGAGATACTGTGACTATACTGTAGTGAGATAATGTGACTATACTGTAGTGAGATAATGTGACTATACTGCAGTGAGATACTGTGACTATACTGTAGTGAGATAATGTGACTATACTGTAGTGAGATACTGTGACTATTCTGTAGTGAGATAATGTGACTATACTGTAGTGAGATAACATGACTATACTGTAGTGAGATACATGTGACTATACTGAGTGAGACTATGTGACTATACTGCAGTGAGATAATGTGACTATACTGTAGTGAGATAATGTGACTATACTGTAGTGAGATAACATGACTAGTGAGATAACATGACTATACTGTAGTGATGTGACTATACTGTGAGTGAGATAATGTGACTATACTGTAGTGAGATAACATGACTATACTGTAGTGAGATAATGTGACTATACTGCAGTGAGTGTGATAACAGATAATGACTATACTGTAGTGAGATAATGTGACTATACTGTAGTGAGATAATGTGACTATACTGTAGTGAGATAACATGACTATACTGTAGTGAGATAATCTGTGACTATACTGTAGTGAGATAATGTGACTATACTGTAGTGAGATACTGTGACTATACTGTAGTGAGATAATGTGACTATACTGTAGTGAGATAATGTGACTATACTGTAGTGAGATAATGTGACTATACTGTAGTGAGATAATGTGACTATACTGTAGTGAGATAACATGACTATACTGCAGTGAGATAATGTGACTATACTGCAGTGAGATAATGTGACTATACTGTAGTGAGATAATGTGACTATACTGTAGTGAGATAATGTGACTATACTGTAGTGAGATAATGTGACTATACTGTAGTGAGATAACATGACTATACTGTAGAGTGAGATAATGTGACTATACTGTAGTGAGATAACATGACTATACTGTAGTGAGATAATGTGACTATACTGTAGTGAGATAATGTGACTATACTGTAGTGAGATAACATGACTATACTGTAGTGAGATAACATGACTACACTGCAGTGAGATAATGTGACTATACTGTAGTGAGATAATGTGACTATACTGTAGTGAGATAACATGACTATACTGTAGTGAGATAACATGACTATACTGTAGTGAGATAACATGACTATACTGCAGTGAGATAACATGACTATACTGCAGTGAGATAACATGACTATACTGTAGTGAGATAACATGACTATACTGTAGTGAGATAACATGACTATACTGTAGTGAGATAATGTGACTATACTACAGTGAGATAACATGACTATACTGCAGTGAGATAATGTGACTATACTGTAGTGAGATAATGTGACTATACTGTAGTGAGTGAGATAATGTGACTATACTGTAGTGAGATAATGTGACTATACTGCAGTGAGATATGTGACTATACTGCAGTGAGATAACATGTGACTATACTGACTATAGTGAGATAAATGACTATACTGTAGTGAGATAACATGACTATACTGCAGTGAGACTATACTGTAGTGAGATAACATGACTATACTGTAGTGATGATAACTGTGTGAGATATACTGCAGTGAGATACTGTGACTATACTGTAGTGAGATAATGTGACTATACTGTAGTGAGATAACATGACTATACTGTGAGTGAGATAACATGACTATACTGACTATACTGTAGTGAGATAACATGACTATACTGCAGTGAGATAACATGACTATACAGTGATAACATGACTATACTGCAGTGAGATAATGACTATACTGTAGTGAGATAACATGACTATACTGTAGTGAGATAATGTGACTATACTGCAGTGAGATAACATGACTATACTGTAGTGAGATAACATGACTATACTGTAGTGAGATAACATGACTATACATGACTATACTGTAGTGAGATAACAGTGACTATACTGTAGTGAGATACTGTGACTATACTGTAGTGAGATAAATGTGACTATACTGTAAGTGACTATAATGTGACTATACTGCAGTGAGATACTGTGACTATACTGTAGTGAGATAACATGACTATACTGTAGTGAGATAATGTGACTATACTGTAGTGAGATAATGTGACTATACTGTAGTGAGATAATGTGACTATACTGTAGTGAGATAATGTGACTATACTGTAGTGAGATAATGTGACTATACTGTAGTGAGATAATGTGACTATACTGTAGTGAGATAATGTGACTATACTGTAGTGAGATAACTGTAGTGTGACTATACTGTAGTGAGAGTGAGATGTGACTATACTGTAGTGAGATAATGTGACTATACTGCAGTGAGATAAGACTATACTGTAGTGAGATATGACTAGTGTAGTGAGATAATGTGACTATACTGTAGTGAGATAACATGACTATACTGTAGTGAGATAACATGACTATACTGTAGTGAGATAACATGACTATACTGTCAGTGAGATAACATGACTATACTGCAGTGAGATAACATGACTACACTGTAGTGAGATAACATGACTATACTGTAGTGAGATAACATGACTATACTGTAGTGAGATAACATGACTATACTGTAGTGAGATAATGTGACTATACTGCAGTGAGATAACATGACTATACTGCAGTGAGATAATGTGACTATACTGTAGTGAGATAATGTGACTATACTGCAGTGAGATAATGTGACTATACTGTAGTGAGATAATGTGACTATACTGTAGTGAGATAATGTGACTATACTGTAGTGAGATAATGTGACTATACTGCAGTGAGATAATGTGACTATACTGTAGTGAGATAATGTGACTATACTGTAGTGAGATAACATGACTATACTGTAGTGAGATAACATGACTATACTGTAGTGAGATAACGTGACTATACTGTAGTGAGATAACATGACTATACTGCAGTGAGATAATGTGACTATACTGTAGTGAGATAATGTGACTATACTGCAGTGAGATAATGTGACTATACTGCAGTGAGATAATGTGACTATACTGCAGTGAGATAACATGACTATACTGTAGTGAGATTACATGACTACACTGCAGTGAGATAATGTGACTACACTGCAGTGAGATAATGTGACTATACTGTAGTGAGATTATGTGTATAAACTGCAGTGGCTTTACTGCAGTGAGACATATGTTAACACTGTCCTTACCTTGTGTCAAAGTTGTCCGAACCAACATCATATTTGTACGTGGGTTGGAAATGAATGGGACCTTCTGAGTAGCCACTGAACACATCTGACTTGCCAAGTTGCATGTACAGCTGGAAGAGAATCATACAGTACATCAATAAAGGCACAATACCTATACCAGTCTACACCTGTTCATTCAGAAAAAGGCTGGAACTTAAACACAAAGTTTAACATAACTGGTCTGTTTGTCCCTTGTCCTTTCATGTCAAAAGCATATATCAAATATGAAACTCAAAATACCTATGTTGTGTATTTGATAACTGTAACAAACATCTTATCACACAAAAATCTTTTTAAAGTAAGAATCTCAAGAAATATTGAGTAAAGAGGAAAGGATACTCCTTTGAAACCCCAATCAATATCGTTCGTCTCCTGGCAACAGATACGAAGATTGATTTACTTCAAAGCTTCTGCTTAAATACACACAAATATTATCTATGTCTCTTCTACTGGATATATTTTGACAACTCCAAACAAGTTATAACTACAAAATAATGTCAAAAACCTTTTAACTCTTGTACCCAATGTATGTATAGGAGGTAGAAAGATGGGTCACAAACATTATAACTGATTTCTGATCAAGAAAGTTAATACATTAATCCTTCACATTTTGGACAAGGTACGACTGCTTTCACTACACACTATTACCTTTACAAAGACTATTTCTAACCACTTACACAAAAGCGGTTTACCAACACTGGCATGTGTGAAGGAAGGGAGGTAACTCTAACATACCTGGTCATATGGTAGCAGTTTACCATTGAGGCCATTGCTGATATTGTACTTGACCTCATCAATCGGCATGCCATAGATACGGTAGTTCAGATCTCCTATAAAGAAGGTGATGCTGAAACAGAGAACATTTTCTACAATTAAACGGGAAAACCAGCTGCTAAAACGACTGAAGATTGTACAATATACGTGGAGTTCTGTTAAATGTTTATGATGTACATTACTGCAGGGATATAGTCATAAAACTGTTGTAAAGTGTACAAAACAAAATATTTAACAAAACATACACGAATATACAAGAAAACATTATAGAAAGAAACATAAAAACAATCACAATTTAGTTGAATACATAACGTCTAAAAACATTTTATCATCTGATGCATCCAATGGTATCCTTTCATAATTAACAAGGTAAAAGGTTATAATAACCATTTCATCTTGAATTATATGTTCATTAATCATTAGCATTATCATCATTCAAAATTCACAAGAAATATTTGTGAACACAGGAACTTACTCATGTTCCTTAATTGTTAATGGTGGTGAAAACTGCTTGAATTTCATCTTGGCGTCAATGTCTCGATAATCCTGAAAGGTTCATCAATGTTACATTAAAACCTACATATATCTTTCACTCATCTTCAAATAATTTGACTTTACACAGGAATTATTTTTGTCACCCTTGCAGCTTATTTTACCACTTAATGGCACTTTGTGGCAGTAACTGGAAAAAACGAAGGGCAAATTACAGAGTTTTTGGTGCTTCCTTGTGTCTTATTTACTTATTGGATATGTAGCAGTAAACACCAACTCCTGCCAACCTCGAACACTATAACGGAGACAGACCTGTTTCAAATGTCACAAACTCTGGGCATCTTAAGTTCTGAGAGAGAGAGTGAGGAGCTTGTCGCCCATCAATGGAAGGGAAGTAACTCTATTATTTCTTCTTTGAGTGGCATTTTAGAAGTTGGGATGTACAATATTGAACAAACTTTATCTATCAGTATTCCATATGCCTTTTCACAGCAGAAACTAAAATCATGGATTTTATCTGAGCAACCAGATTAACACATACTTGATTCCTCCTCTCGAACTCCTCCTGATGTGCAGCTAGATGTGAATTGATGAAACAGAAAGACGTGTTGTGGACACTCATTCGTATACCGACACCTCCCTTGTTCCCCTGAAACAAATAAACTGTTACTGATTCTGTGCATTTGATCAGCTAAATATGCAGCTGCTGTGAACTATCCCCTAAAACAAATTCAACAGGACCACTGATATTAGGTCGTTATAACTGCAGCTTGTCACACTCATATCGATGTGGACATACAGCAAGTGGCAGGGACCAAAACAGTTTGTTATGAATGTAGCTTGCTATATTTCACAGTATCAAAGTATACTAACAAATTTCTGTTAACTGATTGGCTGATGGACAATAGCTGATTGTATGGACAATGAGTAAGTGAGTTTACTTTTATGCCCGCTTTAGCAATATTCCAGCAGCATCACGGCGGGGGACACCAGACGAGTGAGTGAGTGAGTGAGTGAGAGTGAGTGAGTGAGTGAGTTTAGTTTTACGCTTTTAGCAATATTCCAGCAATATTACGACAGGGGACACAAGAAATGGGCTTCACACATTGAACCCATGTGGGGAATCGAACCTGGATCTTCAGCATGACGAGCGAACACTTAAACCATTAGGGTACCCCACAGCCCCGTATGGACAGTGACTGATTGTATGGACAGGGCTTATGGTGCATTATTGGGCTGGACTATGTCACTGATTTCATATTGATGTCTACACTGTTCTTATGCTGATGACTAGTAAGCGCATTGTGAAGTTTATATTGCTGATACATTCATATAAAAGAGTTGACTTGTGACTAAAAAACACCAAAAACGTTGGCAGTAAATTCTTAAATAACATGCAGGTGTCAGTCTAATCAAGATTTGATGCAGTCAGGGTGTGAAGACACACAATCAACTTTGTCACAAAGTCTAACCGACCGATTAAAAATAGTTGCCATGAATACCACCTCTCTTTCAAGGGCACTTCATTAAGGGATACCTACTGTCTCCTAAATTCCTACACACAATAATTTGTGAATTCCAAGATAACACACATGCAAGGACTATTTTGTATCCAAGCTACACTTGTCTGAACAAAGTTACCAGTGGATGTACAATTTTTAAACCATGGTATGGAACAAATACAGGTTTGTAATTACTGGGCTTATCTTAGCTTGTTTGTTTATAATGTCCTTAGAAAGATTCCACTTGTTTGATAATACACTGTAGATAAATCTAGATTAGACAATCTAGTGATTAACATCATTAGCATTGAAATAGGAAATTGGGATGTAAAGACATAAAAAAGAGTCAGAAAGCATGACCACCCATTTGGTCTGTGGCCTCTTAAAGGTCACATAAACCCTAGGGGGTACAAATACATAAATCACTAACTGGCATCGTTATAAATGAAACCCCGTCATTAAAACTACTCATTTCGACCTTTAATTGACTTAAATCGATTTTTTTGACAACAGTGCACAATTCTAACCCGCGAACGAAATTTCAACCAATCAGAGCGGCGCGACTCTGTGACGTCATATGAGGAATAGCTTTGAGGGCCGATGCAGAATTCATCTACATTTTAGGGGGTAAATTATCTTGTTTACAGGCTTGTATAAACCTGAAATCGTGACAACTGTTGTGGAAAATGAAAGCTATATGTTCTCACAATCTACTGTCATTTAATTTTGTCTCCTGCTTTGCCTAGTTTCGAGTTACAACTTGTTTTCATAGGCGCTTCTGTCACAATTGATTGGTGTCGTTAGGCCCTATTTGTATAATGACTGATCCAAATTGATCCCATTTCTGTGTTTTTTACCTCGATATTTAATCATGTCATGTAAAAATCTGTTTGTATTCTCAAAACAGTGTCGGCCCATAAGTTTTCACATGCAATACAGCAATTAATACTCCCTTGTTGTAACCCGTGTTAGGTGGTATAAACCTACACATGTTATTTGTCATCATTCACTTGATGGTCAGTTAATGAATTTATAACAGGTATAATTAGTGGTAACACACTTAGATTACCGACAAAGGTTCCCATTTGGCATTTCTTGTGTCTGGAGTAAATATTCAACATTATGAACATCGATCAAAGGATTAACCGATAACACGCTGATTGATTAATTACTTTTATCTTACACAGCGGAATTGTCAAAAGGTAGTGTTTATGTATATAGATTTACTAATCTATACTGAATACACTCTGCCGTGTCGGTGTCTGCATGTAAAAACAATGTCCTTCTTTCAAAGGATTAACCCGGCAATACATTGATTGATTGCCCATTATTGGCTAACTAAATTACTGTTTTAAAGAAAGGCGGACATTATGCAATTAGTTGCCAGGTGTGCTATCTTGGGTGACCAATGAGACTATACACCAATACCTGAAAAGATTTATCACTTTTTCGTATATTAAACTGTTAAAAGACACATCATTTGGAACAGTTTTGTGGATATTGATGGATACATTCCTCGAACAAGGTAATGGCCTGATATTGTTCCTATAACTTTAAGCTGTTTTAATTTTAATATTTGCATTTTGTTTTTATTCATTTGTCGTAGCATTCAACAGAATCATTGTTTTCGCCGTGAAGTGTAATGAGACAGACAACATGCACTAGGGTGTGTGTGCGAATTATGATTCACATTGGCAAACTATAAAATGTCTAGATATTATAGTTCTGTTATAAATTCACTATAAGTATCAGCAGATCGTCTGCTTTTTATTTAGTTTCAAAATAATCTCATTAATTCTAACAGATTTTTTTATTTTTAAAAATGGCGGCGCCCTGTCGGGAACATCCGCCAGTCTGAGGATAAATGGTATTTAGGTTTGTTTTCACCGAGTTACAAAATCAAAACTACTTTCTACTGGTAGTAAAATATGTATTTTATTGATGGCCAATAGGATTTTGCATGACATAGCATATATCATAACAATTTCTCTCGTGGCAGCGAGGTGGGTGTCAATATAATACTACTTACAATATTATTGTTACTTCGACCACAACCTCACTTCCGAGGAAGAAATCGTTATGTTACAAGTTGTGTCATAGAAAATCTTTAATGTCATCAATCATATGCATATTTTACTACAACTAGTAAGTAGTTTTGATTCTTTAACTTCCGTGAAGCGATCTGAACACAAGTAAGATATCGTTTCAGGCTTCCACAGCTTCGCCAGCACTCACAAACATAACCCATTTAGCACGAACTGCGGGTCCTGTGGAAATCTGTGCATGGGGACACCATCGCCCGACCCTAGGAGCAGTTGGCGACAAAGCAACAATTCGGCATGTCGTCGTTGATGTCGAAATCATCAAAATGATGAGCGTGCTACACATTTTCTATACAACTAACTGAAAATCGTTCCTCATATGACGTCACTGCAGTGCTCTGGCGACAGAGTTACGTAACCTGTCTGTGGTTTCGTTGGCGGGTGAGAGGGAAGCAGGCGACTTTTTGGCCACTTTTAATCGCTCGGTATTAATTAACCACAAGTTTTTAAAGAATAAATTTGGTGTTCCGCATAAAACTAACCACAAATCTTTCATATGTAATGGTTAAAAGAGTAACAAAAAACAAAGTTTAGTGGTTCTTTAAGACAAGCAACGATGTTGAAGACCATCTCTTAAAGGGATCTTTAACATGATCTTTACAATATCAATATCTGTTATTGATTTTATTTCTAATCAATAATCATATTTGAAGACGTCAGCAATCACACGAGGAACTAACCATGATTCCCATGATCCCCGTGGCAACCTGGTCTGAATCTAAGAAGTGAAGATTTGGTATGTGTTTCTCTTGTATAAACACAATCAGCAATATCCCAACAAGACGACAGGACTTCACCTTCATGAGAAAGAAATTAATCAATTATTAATACCATCCAAGGGAAATCAATAAAATTATTCCATATATGGCAGATGTGAAATCCTTCTTTCAACGTTACAATCATTTATAAATTCTCTTTGCAAGAAATCAATGTGAAAAGCCAAGAAGTGCTGCTAGAATTTCATCCAATCTTGCAAAGAGAAGATCGAGCATATTTTAATGTCAGTGTCATTATGACAGATGTATCTTAAAAATCTTAATGTGAAATCTGAACATGTTTTTATTTACTTGTGTAAAAATCATGTGCACTACCTCATATTCTGTCCTGAATCTGCACAATGTCAAACTGACACAGAAAGAAGTCTGACAGGACCTACCTTCCGATACTTTGCCTTAGGGTGGAGATAGTTCTTCACAGCTTTTTGCCATTCTGCTTCCCGGGGAGAGTCCGTGAATATAAATGCCTCCTTACTCAGATCTAGTTCCTGAAATCTAAGATGGAGAAAGGACCCCTGTAAAATGTCTCCCTGTACAACACCTTCATGAAATCTACATGGAGAGAGAACCCTGTAAAATGTCTCCTTTAGGAAATTACAACATCTACTAGATGAAATCTAACATTCCTGTAAAATGTCAACAGTTAAAACAAGGAATTGGACAGAGGAATCAGTTTTATACAAACAAACTATCATATATCACAACATAAAAGTGTAACCGTGTACCCTATAGCATATATATCTGGAGGTTCATCATCAACCACCAGCCATTCCTTGAGGGGCTCCTTTGGGGACTGTCCGTTAACATTCCATGTGCCGCAAAACACCCTGGAAATAGAGCAGTGTTCACAAATGGTGTTTCACAGTAATGTTTCAGATGTCATGAAACTGATTAGAACTTTCAAAAACATTTACCATGCACAAAGAAACTGGCTGTAGTGCAGCGATATTTTAATAACCAATTAATCAGACACACTCACTCACCACACACGCAATTAGCTTACTGTAAATGAATGCCTACACTTTGACAGACAGACAGACAGACAGACACTATTCACTGACTGCTTGAAGGTAACTAAAATCACTCTCTCACACATATTTCATGAATGAAAAGTAGATTATCATCGATTAGCCATAATATCCTATCACTAGGTAACACTTTCTCTACTTCTGACTTTTCAAATACTTCTCTTAAAGAGGCCAGGCGATAGTGGAATTTCCATTTTGTCATGTCCTTCAATGGGATGAACTAAAACTCAATGAACCAATCAGCACCACCTCCTTACTCCAGTCTCTCTGTATTGGTAAACTCCTCCTCTTTAGGTGATACATTTCTTAATCTTGGTTTTCAAACATTTCTGTTAAAGATTATGGTCACAAATGTACATTACTATAAAATTACAACTCCCTCACGAAATTAACTGAAAGAGTCAATAAGCTTCATTTCTTACGTTAGCTTTTCTATATTGGTGAATTCCTCCTCTCTCTGAGCCATGTAGCGTTTCACGAACACCTCCCTTGCCGTCACCGGCTTCTGCCCTACCGGCATCTCCAGGCCATACCCAATCCCCAGCTGCCTCTGAATGTTGTACACTGTATCAGGCTCATCCTCGTCTCGGTCAAGCATGTCCAGTGAGTCCCTGCTCTGGCTGTTGGCCAGATTGGAAGCATTCAGAGTCAACATATTGCTGAAGTCGTCCTCGAAACCTTGTCTTTCAGCAGCTGCAACATCCACTGCAACAAAACCAAGCCTTTCAATCCTTCACATAAGACAATGGAGTGAGTGAGCCACTTATTCAACACTTTGTTTGATTCAAGCAAATAAATGTTGTCAAGCACCCTATGTTAATCATAGTGTTACTTTATGTATTGCATTCTACAAATGATTTCAAAGATGTCATTAGACTCTAGCTCAAAACTTTTTCTGATCAGGATAACAAAGTTCGAGGCTGAAGTAAACTTTTCGCAACATTTTATCAGTCCCTCCTGGATTCCGCTGCGAATTTTTAAGAATTCCGCGGTAAATTTAAGTAAATTCTGCATCCCATTTTTCAAAATTCTGCAAAAGATTCTGCAGTTAAATACTTGAAAAAATAACAAACAATTATGATAAATTTCAAACTTTAATTCTTAAACTCAGAGCTGTAAATGTTTTAGAGCTTCATGACATCCAAGGTACAGCTGGCAGCTCATGTTTTTCTTGCAAGATGTTTTATTTTTATTTAGAAAGATGATCTTACGAGTGTGATCAGGAATGACATTACAAACTCTACAAAATATTGTTTTGATTCAACTTTCAAAATAAGTAAATACCGAGGCACGTATTCTGCATGAAATTGCATTTTCCGTGAACCAGGCGTTTTTCTGCATGAAAAGGTATTTTCCGTGATTTATTCTGCAACCGCGGAATCGCGGAATTCAGGAGGGACTGTTTTATGGTAGACGTGGAGGACATTTCCAACTCTGACATATCAGTGACAAAAGTGACGTTTGATGCTATTCCCCATGTTGATGAGCACCATTTGTTCCCCTTTTCTTTTCAGGTGCATAATTGTCTTGCCTTTGCATGTGTTTGTGATGAGTGCCAGTGGTTAGACCAGGAGGCTTGGTTGATTGTATGTCACTGTAGCCACACCGGATCAATGCTTATGATGTCAATCACTGGATTGTCTGGTCCAGACTCGATTATTTACAGACCACCGCCATAAAGCTGGAATATTGCTGAGTGCAGCGTAAAACTAAACTTACTCACTCACTCACCAGACATGATCGTGATGTTATGCACTGGATAGACTGGTCCAAACAAGATAACGATGTTAATCACTGGGTCGACTGGTCCATACATGATAATGATGTTTTTCCCTTAATCGACTGGTCTAAACATGACTATGATGTTACTGATTGGATTGACAGATCCAAACATGAATTTAATCACTGGATCGACTGGTCCACACATGATGATGATGTTAATCACTGGACTGACTAGTCCAGATATGATCATGTTCAATCCTAAAACGCTGTTTGAAGATAAAAGTGCTGCATTTAACAACAAACCCCCCATATATTCTATATAACACAGTGTGACCACCAACCTGTCTGTCCTATACCATTGCTGGTGAGGTTCATGTGTGCCAGGGGATCAAAGACGTCATCTTGGAAAGGGTTTTTTGATGCACCAGAATACTTGCTTAGCCAGCTGAAGGTTGACCGACAACCGAATCCTGCATTCTGAGTGTACACTGAAACAAAACATGTCTTGCCGTAACCATGGTAACAAGAATCAGCATACACAGCTTTAGGAAATGTAAAATTACTTTTATTGTCTCAAAAATTTGCAATTATGAAACAAAATGTCAAAAGATATGTAACGGGTGAAAAGGTTATCTGTACTTTGAATGTATGGGGTGGGTGAGTGAGATGTTTTAAACCGCTCAGCAATTACCAAAATCACAGCACCACACCACAAATGGGCTTCATACATTGTACCCATGTGGGGAACCGAGCCCAGGCATTCAGTGGGGCAAGCAAACTCTTTAAAGGTCACCCGAAAAATCAAACATAATTAAAACACAATTATCACGTATTCATGACATATAATATACATTGCTGATTATGAAAAAGCATACAAACAAAATTATAAGCGTACAGTCACAAATCAAAAGTGCAATGTTTTGTACTTGGGTTTACTTCTCTCGAAACGAAGCACCCGGGAAACCGAACCCAGTCAGCAGGTGGGTGTGCACTCAAGTGTAACAAAGCCTTTCATTGGCTGGTTCATTTGTCGATGCCCTCACGGCTCATTGTGTGTATGTATACATAATACGTATATAGAGATGTTGGGGTTTGTAAATACATGCTCAGTTTTTGTGTATAACATTTTGCAATCAACAGACATCATAACATGTCATGTGTACAAGTATCACACCTGCCTGTCTGTGTAATTACATAATGTGACAGAGACCCGGACTCGGGCCATAAATCAATGCGTTTTGTTTATGGTGTATAGCCTGATAGGTGTTACGTTCAAATTGCATGTGGTCAGTGATCGAAGTTGTGTATTGAATATTGTCATTAGCAGACAGGCAGGCAGACACATAGGTGTCAATAAAACAGACGTTGAGTTTTGTCTGTGACAACGACATATCTATATCACAGTTAGAAATTCTGCTAAATAATGACATTGCTTTTTAAGTATCGAACTGAGAAAGTGACTCTAGTAAGAAGACAGATCACAATCAAAACATCAGACCAAGTGCAGTGAAATACACATTAAAAATGAAATTATATAACTGACTGACTGACTGACTGAGTTTATTTTTACGCACTGTTTTAGCAATATTCCAGCAATATCACCACGGTACTGGGGACACCAGAAATGGGCTTAAACACATTGTGCCCATGTGGGGAATCGAACACCTGGGGTCTTCCTCCTTCGTGACAAATAGTGAACTGTGTCAATATTTTAATGATAGGTTGTTAAACAACTTTTTAATTTTAACCACTGCAAACAGGCTACAGAGTTGGTCCGAAATTATATAAACAGTTAAATCAGTAATCTACTGTCATAACATATAAAAAGCTAGAGCCTGTGAAATATCAACAAAACATTTGAAAAATAGCTCACACCAAAGCCTTCACCGAATATTCATCGCCAGCGAAGGTTTTCCGTCTTGAAATGTCGAACGCCTCACTGGTTGACACATAGCTGAGTAGATCTAGATCCTAACAAGGTTCTTGTATGTAATGAGTAGATTATTTACTATTTGTTTTGATTAGACTACTCCTGCTCAGGACCTTATAATCCGGACATCCCGCTTCCAAGCTGCGCGAACCTATTTCACTGCATATGCGCTATGAGCGTACAGCACAGCTCAGCACAGCACAGCTCAGCGCAGCACAGCTGTTGAAACCACTTTTCATAGTGCTGGGGTGAATTTCGTGAATCGTTTGAACTCCGATTTCGCGGGAGGGTTTTCATCGCATTATTTTTCAACTTTACAAGTTGAATTTGCATTTTTAATGATTTGTATCTGTAAGTCCATACGGAAAGGTTTTAGAATCTGCAAAGTTGTGTTTTACGTTGCATGTGACCTTTAACTACTGGGCTATGCCCTTGAACAGAATATGATGGAAAACTGTAATAGTTATTGCAATGGGAAAATATAAAGGAACTCTACTTACAATCCTTTGCACTCTTTATCTGACCGAGCAGATCTGTTGTTGACTGTTGCTGAGGCAACTCCAGGAGCAGGTCGTGTTGGGTGGATTTCAGCCGTAATCGAAATGCTGAAACATTGATTGTGAAAGAATTTGTTGAGATAGTTCTTGGGGAAAAAGGCTACTATTTATGATACAAATGATACAGTGTCCTTCCTGTCTTGATTATATTCCATTTTGCATATCTCGTTTCGATAAATAAAACCTAATTTAAATAAAGACACTTCTTTAAAAAAAGAATCATGAATATTCGATTCTTGTGATCGCGAATAAGAAAATTAATCCAAGATGAGATAGGGTTAAATTCACTGAAAACACAAGTGAATTGAAACGGCCTTCATGGACATCCTTCTCAAACACAACTGCAGCACACAATGGTATATTGACTCCGAGCTAATCACTCTTTGTTTTATCACTTTAATGCTACATCACTAGGAATACATCGAAATATCATCATAATCATGTATCATTTTCTAATCACCAACCTTGAGGATTGTCACTGGATTTGACAGTGTTGGAGGAATCTGAAAATACAAACAATCATTAATATTGATATATGTTGCATTTAATACAAATTCATCAAATGTTTGGAACTCCAGGAAGAAATGGTCCCCAGTAGCCTATACTACTGACTTAAAGGGTGTTAGTGAGTGAATGAGTTTAGTTTTAAGGTTCTGTTAGCAATATCACAGCAGGGGGACACCAGAATGAGTTTAGTTTTTGCTTCTTTAAGCAATGTTCCAGCAATATCACCACAGAGGCTGACACCAGAAATGGGCTTTACACATTGTACTCGTAAAATCCCCTAGTGGCAAAATTGAAACAAATTATCTCCCATCTTTCTATCCAATGTACATCGACTTAGATTCAATTTGACTAACACAAGCAAACAGGGCCACAAATATCCCCATCTGCCATGTGTTGATGTTACACACAAGACGTTTAATGGCTAGCTTGTCCGTTGTCAACGTAAGGACCCATTGCTATTACATGACTGAGTTCTGTCTAGAAGAAGCGTGCGCATCGGCGCTCGAAGATTGCAGCAGATATCTCATTACGGAAATTACCGATGAGCGAATGATCACTTTTGAAACAACGCCGCTGAACACAGCTTGTGGACAGCCTTGAACCAGACAAAGAAAGCTTCATTCTTTGATATGACATGAGTAACCTCAGTACCCATGGCGGATACACTGACTGAATGTGAGTTTAGTTTACCGCTTATGCAAATTCCAGCAAATCTAGAAATGAGCTTCACACATTGTACCCATGTGGGGATTCAAATATCTTTGGATCCACGCTTTAACCATTAGGCTACCCCACCGCCCCTTTTGGCGTGTAGAGCAAATGCTAGGCGAACCACTAGGCTACCCCATTGCCCCTGACTTAAAGGGACTGGGTGGTCAAGTTCCTTGAATTAACCGATCGTTTACCATTATGCCCTGATGGTGTAGCTCTTATTGCTTGTCTTTCCACAGTTACCGTTTTGTAAGCTTGTCATATGCAACTATTGATGTTGACGCCAACAATAATTAACAATCCTCATTCAGGGCTAACTGACATGCTGTTCTACTGCCCCCTATGTTAAGTATTGGTGGTCCAGTTAATTGAAATTATCGAAGGTTGGTCACAGTGACCAAACGACCAAGCAATCGATCACATTTTGGACCTACTTGATGGTGGAACATATTATAAAAGTTGTCAGGGCCTTAAAACAGGTTTAATTCTTAGAAAACACACTTAATTTACTGAAAAGTCATAACTGAATATTTCTTGAAGAACCTGGAAGGTTTATGTTAAACTAATATTAGTCATCACTTTAAAGTAGCAAGTTGCATCATTTTACATTATATGTGAAATTTGCAAATGCAATTTGTGCAATTAAGCAAAACAAAAACAACAGAGAACCATGTTATACTTATCTGCAATAACAACCTGAATAGGAAAATCTTAAAAATGATGCTAACCAATTTTTTTTCGATGATTGCTTGTTGGTAATAAACCAATCATCAATTGTGAGATTTCAACCAATTCCCAACAGTATTGTTAAGAAACATGTTTCCAGTAAAACAAATGATAAAAAGTGTCAAGACAGTTTAAGGTCAGGTTAAAATCTTTCTCTTTATCATTTCAATATAATGTTTTAAATTAAATAGGCATTTTTTAATTGAAATGTAAATATTTCCACTAGTAATGTTAGCTGACTGAAGCAACTGCAACTATGAAATGGGTGCAAACGTTTATAGTTGCACTGTAACAGTCTGTACTTGGCAACCCGTGAAGCTCTGGGTTAGAATGAACCTTCAGTAACCCATGCTTGTGGAAAGAGGCGACTAACGGGATCAGGTGGTCAGGCTCGCTGGCTTTGTTGACACATGTCATCAGTTCCCAAATGCGCAGATCGATGCACATACTGTTGATCACTGGATTGTCTGGTCCAGACTTGATTAGTTGCAGACATATAGCTGGAATATTGCTGAGTGCGGTGTAAAACTAAACTCACTCACTCACTGTACTAGACAGTGACAACTGACATGAATCATGATATCTATACCAATAATACCTTTGATTATGAGGGGGCAGACTAGAATGGCATAGTGACGTCATTAGAGGGAGTGAGTTTAGTTTTACGCCGCACTCAGCAATATTCAGCTATATGCTGGCGGGACGAAAGATATATATATGTAAATAAACAGTTTTGATTGCACATTAGTATTAAGTATGTTGTAACATTGTTGTATTCTAGGTTGGTAATTATTCAACATTTTTTACATTCTGTTCATAAATACATCTGTAAATTTGCATATGTCTGAAATAATTAGTAAACAAAGAATTGGCAAGAGGAATGTACTTGTTAACCTCAGAAAAGACAATGTTCCACTTAAACAACTTGTCTCAATGTTGCCCAATAAGATCATTCAAATGATATTGCTATACGATCCCAGGCATGTTTCTGTATAAAGAAATGTACCCTGAACAAAATCAAAATACAGCGATATTACCTCACTCCTTCACTTGTTAAGCAATGCATATGACCAGACAATCCAGTGAATGATAGTTTGAACAATGTGATGCTATGTCCAGTTACCATGACACACAAGTCAACCGAAATCACAAAGATGGTCCCATGGCAACAAGATCAGGCTACCAGGGACCTACTGAAACTCGGAATCCCCTCTACAAATCACAGTAACAGATCACCAGGTACCTGAAATATGTCTATAATATATGGTACAACATCATAATATCAAGTCAAGCTGTTCCTGACATTATGATAATATTGAAAAAACTAGCAGCAGCATGTCACAATGTTGTAATACAAATCATTTCACACATGAACAGCTGTTTCCCAAATATTATCCAGACACTGTTAAAACATGAGAAAATCAAACCCGATATTGATTTTTTCTTTGTGTGTGTAATATTTGTTCAACTGACTGACTGACTGAGTTTGTTTTACGCCGCTTTTAGCAATATTCCAGCAATATCACGGCGGGGGACACCAGAAATGGGCTTCACTCATTGTACCCATGTGTACCCGGGTCTTCGGCGTGACGAGCCAACGCTTTAACCACTAGGCTACCCACCGCCCCAATATTTGTTCAAAATATAGGGAGATACAGAAAGGGAGAAAACAATTCCACACATACACACATACTGAAGTCAAAAACATATTTTCAGAGAGAGTGAGAAAGAAAGAGTGAGTGAGTGAGTTAAGTTTTAAGCCGCTTTTAGCAATATTCCAGCAATATCACGGCTGGGGACACCAGAAATGGGCTTCACAAATTGTACCCATATGGGGGCGGTGGGGTAGCCTAGTGGTTAAAGCGTTGGCTCATCACGCCAAAGACCTGGGTTCGAATCCCCACAAGGGTACAATGTGTGAAGACCATTTCTGGTGTTCCCCATGATGTTTCTGGAATATTGGAATATAGCGGCGTAAAACCAAACTCAGTTAGTGTACCCATATGGGGAATCGAACCCGGTGTAACAGGCTAAACTTTGCCCCTGGTCAAACCTTCCCCGACGAAACTTTGGCCTAGGACAAACTTACCCCCCTAGGCTTAATCTTCCCCGGGGAAAGTTTGTCCTAGGCCAAAGTTTCCCCCATTGAATCAACTTTAAAGGCTACTTCTTTCCCACCCTTTTTCTTGTATCAAAAGGGAGAGATTCTTCATAGGAATGGCGGCAGGAGCAGGATGGATTTAGAGATGCTCTTCAAACATGTATGCATTCAAATCACTACACCCAAGTCAGAATCAAGAATGGCTTATTTGACAAAAATGTGTACCAAAATTTAAGTCAAAACTACTGTCGGTTTGATGTTTGCAATAACTTTTTCTACCCCTTTCGATATAACAGCAATGGTGGGGAAGAAGTAGCCTAGGTAGGCCAGAATCTCCCCCTTTCGATATAGAAACAAGGGTGGGGAAGAAGTGGCCTAGCTAGGCCAGAATCTCCCCCCTTTCATAGAAAACAGAACAAACTATCCTAGGGGGCCTTAGCCTAGCCCAAACTTTCCCCGGGGTAAGAATATCCTAGGACAAAACTTCCCCGTGGAAAGTTTGGCTTTGGCCAGATTCTCCCCACGGAAAGTCTTCAGCGTGACGAGCGGAGGCTTTAACCACTAGACTACCCTACCACCCAAGAGACAGACAGAGAGACATACAAACATGCTGAAGACATACTTTGTGACAGACAGACACACACACACACACAGACACACACACATACAGAAGTTAAAGACATATTTTGAAAGACAGACAGAAGTTAGACATATTTTGTGAGAGAGAGAGAGATGTTAAACATATTTTAAGAGACAGACATATGCACAAACTGAAGACATATTTTGCAAGACAGAGACACACAGATAGCTACATATATAGAAGTTAAAGACATATATTGAAAGACAATCAGACAGAAGTTAAAGACATATTTTGAAAGAGAGAGACAGAGACAGACAGACAGACAGAAGAGGGAGAGAGACAAAAGACAGACAGTTTACTACGTCAATAATATCCACCTTAAAGCATATACAGTTACATCAGGATAACTTGTCAAGGGTGCATTACTTCTAACTGTGATGTGATCATGTTCAACCCTGATTTTAGTCACATTATACAACGCAGTGAATGCTGTCATCCACATTCTCTTCAGGAAAATCCTTATTAATCAGGATGTGTGCAGCTGCTCAAAACAATATCTTTCACAGGTCACCCTGACACATACTGCTGCTAAAAGTAATCCAGCGCATATTCAACTGATGTAAGAATCTGCTCGTAGTCATACTTGGTAACCATAGTACCAATATCTCCATCACATTATCACTGTACATTAACAAATATAAAATGATGCATCTCATATCTTGAAGCTATTGCACATTCATGTTCATTTAACGCCATTTAATTGCCCTCAGCATTTCACAGTTAGTGAACCTGTTCCCATTTGTTTTGTGAGATTAATCTGATTCAAAACAATGTGTCCAGACAGCTAATTTGGGAAATACATATTTTGGGGTTCAAAACTGAGATTTGTTCTACTTTCTTAAACCTAGAGGCATTTTAACATTGCACAGAGATTCCTTTCCGTGCAATAACATAAAACTAGGCCTTTATACCTCTTCTTCTTTATTGTTCCTGTTATCAGTGAAATACAGTTACCTCATAAACATGTTGAAAACCCATAAAATAAGCAAGCATATGAATTGGGTAATTTCAGTTGGTATTTTCTGCAGGCTATGGGTTGAGTTGAGTTGAGTTGGGCTTTATCGGCATTATTCAAGCCATATAGTGACGAGAACAAGTCTGCATTAATAAACATTGTAAGTACAGAGTCAAAATGAGATTTATTTTTAAAAAGCAGGCTATGGGACCATTATCGGAACATCACTGGCCCCTGAGCAGGTTGGGTGGCTGGTTTGTGTTTTAATGCCACACTCAGCAATATCCCAGCTATATGGTGGCAGTCTGTATATAATCAAGTCTGGACCAGACAATCCAGTGATCAACAGCATGAGCATTGACCAACGCAATTGGGATATGATGACATGTGTCAATCAAGTCAATAAGCCTGACCACCCCATCATGTTAATGATCCAAGCATAAGTGTACTGAAGATCAATTCTAACCTGGATCTTCACGGGTCTCCCTGAGCAGGTCTTGATAAATCAATATCTCCTTCAATAAAGTGATGGAAACAGGTGTGTGATGGGTATGGGTGGTATGGGTGGGGTAATGGGTGGGGTGGTTGTTGGTGTTGTCAGGTGATACTAAACCCCACCCTGATGTGCGCACATGCCGTTCTAACACAAACACTGCTTTTGCTTTTTGCAATGTTACAGCTTTATGACTGCAGTCTGTCTGGACCAGTCTGGACCAGACAATCCAGTGATTGACATCATGAGCATCAATATCATGAACTACATACAAACAAACAAACCTCGCATTGGCACAACCAAATATTGCTGTCTTATTGACATGTGGATGTGGGGTAGCCTAGTGGATAAAGCGTTCACTCATCACACCACAGACCCGGGTTCGTTTCAACACATGGGTACAATGTGTGAAGCCCATTTCTGTGTCCCCCGGTGTGATTGCTGAAATTTTTGCTAAAAGCGGCATAAAACGATACTCACTCACTCTTGGTGACATGACGTCAAACATGACCTAGGAAGTCTAGAGTGTTGGATTGCTTAACAAAGCATTTCCAAAGAGATTGTTTTTCGAAGCACATTAAAATTCTGGCAAACTTCATTTTGCGGAATTTCTGTTTGCAGATAACCAATTGCATGTAGACTTTGTTTTCCAGTCGGATCTGCCTAAGCGTTTTTATGGTAAAAAGTATTCTAATGAGTAATAACTACACAATTTTTGTGAATTCACACTAGAAAACATGTGTATGAATTGAAGCTCCCAACAAACACAGAAATATGTAAATTGTAAATAAATCCATGGAGACATCATCATAAATATGTATTGAAACATACATTACTTAACTTAGAATACATCATATTTACTCAACTTAACATAAAGTTACATACACAGTTACTTTTTCCTGCTGGCATATTACTGAAATACGGACATACCCATTGAACACTTCAAATGTATTTTTCAAGTTGTTAGTTTTAGAGGTATGATTCCTGACAACAATGTCTACCAGTAAAGCTAAAGATTGCTCCTACCAAAAAAGCCACACAAATCTTATATGGCTAAAATAACCCAATTAATATGGAGTCACAATATGGCGGAAAAATGAAGATGCAACATAAAAGTTTAACTCACTCACTCACTCAACTGATATGGCTGAGCAAGCTGAATGTTAGCTGAAAGTGAGTGAATATAAAGTTGTTAAAATGGCAGCATCAAAAACAGATCTGACACTTTCTATAAACCTTAAACGTTACCTTAATATTATCACAATATCCAACAGCCTTTCTCACTTTGCAAAAACACTGAGGTGAGGTGAGGTGAAATTGGGTTTTATGTCGCGGCTTGAGAATATTCCAGCCATATGATGACCGCATCGATCTGCGGTGTATCGTAGTCTGACTGCTTGTACTAGCCCAGACTTAAGCTGGTTTTATAGTGCTAACCCACTGAGATACCATGCCGCAGTGAAGCATGAATACCCCACTCAGACACATTATACTGACTCGAAGCCGACCAGTCCTTGTTGTACCATTAATGCCGAAAGCACCAGGCAGGGACCAACAAGTACCATATTTTAACGCTTTTGGTATGACGCTGTAGAGATTAACCTGGTTTTATAGTGCTAACCTTCCGCTATCCGAAGCATGGACGCAGCTCAACCACTACACCACATAAAACATTTATAGGCAGGGAGAACAATCACGTCTTTTGGCATTTGGTATGAATAACCACTACACCACATAAAAACACCGAAGAACAATCAGGCATTTGGTATGAATTTGTTGTAGCTGGGCCACAGTAAGGCATATCAATGTAATAATATGCACTGGATAATAAGCACTGTTGTGGCAAAACATGGCAATTGATTTCCTGAAAAATTATCACCACATTCATTTGGACATTGCTTTCTGTAAGATTATCATTCAGTCAGTGACATGATCATCATGAGAGGCTTACTGAACTACCATGAACAATACCACAGTATATAATAGTAATATTACATGTCACTTTGATGAGTGAGTGAGTGAGTGAGTGAGTGACTGACTGATTGACTGATTGAATGATCGTGTGATGAGCGAACGCTTTAACCACTAGGCTATCCCACCACCCCATGATGATGATGATGATGCACGCTTGCATTCATTCTCAACTCCCTAGGGAGTATATTACCCATGCTGTCTTATAAGGGGCTATTATGTTAAAAAGTCACTACCATCTCATCCTTGTACTGCTCAGTCAGCAGAGGCTGTGGGAGAAAAGGGCATGGTGTTGTAGGCCTCAGACATTGACCTATTTGCTGAAACCCACAAGCAGGTATATTTTTGGTCTGAGAAACCTCCAAACAGGACGATTTAAGAAACGGAGTGACTGTGGCTTTGCCCTGCTTTTAGCAATATTCCAGCAGCATCACGGATGGGGACTCCAGAAATTAGCTTCATAAATTGTACCTGTGTAGAGAATTGAATGCGGGCCTTTGGCATGACGAATGAACGTTTTAACTACCAGACTAGAATCGAACCTGGGTCTTTGGTGCGACAAGCAAACGCATTAACCACTTGGCTACCCCACCAAGCCAGATTTATGAGCATTAGATCTGTGTTTCAAGTGGTCAGATTCGAGCAGTTGGTGGATTGCATTTCTGCAGGAGTGGATCAGTGCTCATAATATCCATCACTAGATGCCCAGGCTTTGTACAGGCTGGCATCACATAGCTGGGATAGTAAACAACAAATCACATCTTACCTAAGAAACAGCCCAGGTCTGAGTCAACAGGTAGAACTTGATCAACAGAAAGGTCCCCAGCACTTAGAACAGGAACCCGACTTGTAGTGAACAAAAATATCCTGAAAAAGATTACAGACATAAACATTTGTGCTTCCTTCTTAAAGGTATGAATAATATCCTAAGGGACCATTCATAATTTATGGCTAGGGGGGTGATGATGATTTTTATGGCGAAGCATGTACAATGTGAATGACCCCCCCATAAACTTCATGTACAGAGTAAGTGACCCCCACTGCATGTTATGTACAAAATCAATGCCCCCCTCCCATATTTTTAAAGCATGATTTTAAAATATTTTTATGTACAAAATTTAGGGGATCTGAGGATTCAAAATCTAAAATTAATACAATTACAATATAAATAACATAAATTAATATAATCACTTCCCAAAAGGCATTGTGTAGTCACAGCTTTCAACCGTTGGAGCTGTGCCAATTTACACTTGTCAAAGAAGTACAGGATCTTGACTACCAGCTGTCACACTTCCATGTTTGTGGATGCTGCGATGGTTGTGTGGGTTAGATTGCTGACTGTGTCAGGCAATGAGATGCCTGACTTTGATAGTTTGGGTTTGAATCCTACATGGGACTCAATCCCCTAAAATACCAGAATCTGTACTCTACTGAGAAAGTGTAATCCCAGAAAAACAAACACATTATATTTTACCATAACCTAAAAGGCTGACTGACTGGCTGAGTTTAGTTTTATGCCGCTTTTAGCAACATTCCAGCTATATCACGGCAGGGGACACCACAAATGGGCTTCACACATTATACCCATGTGGGGAATCGAACCGGGGTCTTCCGCGGGGCGTGACAAGACAACGCTTTAACCACTAGGCTACCCCACCGCCCCTAACCTAAAAGGCATTGTGTAAGCATTGTGTACATATAAGCAAACACCAGACACCAGAAATAGGTTTCACACATTATACCCACATAGGGAATCAAACCCGTGTCTTGGGCATGACGAATGAACGCTTTAACCACTAGACTATTCCACCGTCCCCTGGGACTACCTTAACTCCAAACACCTCTGTAGCACCTACACATTGTACACTCCAAGCCATAGCTGCTAGTGATCTCACCGTGAGTCAAGATGCCAGTTCCTTACTTCTGGCTATCCTTCAGTATGCCAAGGGGAATATTGATCTGTCCTCTCCCTTTCATTCAACTGCACATCACCAGAGAGGTGGTCATTCTGACATTTTATGGTCACAAGGTTCAAGAAGAATAGCGACACAGCCATGATATACCATACCCACTGACTTTACTGACAAATGTCTGGGGTCAGGCTCCTAACCATGTTAACTACTAATGGCCCTGCTACAGAGCCATGAAAATATTGGTATTTTCCTACCTGAAATAGATTTAGAATCACTAATGTCACTCGAGTAATATAAATTCCCCTGGGCTGTTAAAATTCATTGCATTATAGTGCTAATGGCATGATTAACATCAAAATGGCATTAATATATTCAATCAACATGACAGTGACAGGTAAATAAGTGAGTGAGTGAGTGGGTGAGTGATTGACTGAGTGAGTTTGATTTCAGATAGGATTAGTGTGAGTGAGTGATATATTGTATATCAATTAATAATAACTATCAGTAGTCTTAATGTGAAATTTACCCAAATAGACCTGGTACTTAATGCTCTGTTTGAACTGAACTGATCTATTTATGTTGAAAATTGAATTTTCTGCCTTTCATGGTCCATTTTCACCATGGTTACCCTCAATAAATGAAAATGTTTCTGTGGCAGTGAACTATAAATTTTAGTATTGATTTTCATAAAATTGTATGCAGTGCTAGGGTAATACCATTTACAACATATGATAATTACATTTTCAGGATCATAATGCCCCTTTATCAGCAATAATTATAATCATGATGTTTGCAACAACAGACTGACATTTCAAAATATTCATCTTTAACCACTATAGACTGAAGCAGTTGAATTGTCGATTGTATCGTTCCTGTAAACATGATGAAGGTGAGGTGTAATGGGGTTTAAGTTTAACATCGTACATAAGAATATTTCAGCTCATATGACGATGTACGGGCCGGGGGAATAAACATGATGAAAACTACTCATTAATAAAAGTAATAATATCTTCAACCAAACATTCTACATAGTTTCTATTGAGGAAATGACAGATTTTAGAAAGGCCTCGCCTACCATATCACAAACACTAATGGGTTTTTGACCTGGTTACTTAAAATGGGGAATTCTTCTGAAACATGAACATCTTCATACGTGGAAGGAAATATTGTGGAATCATAATATATTGAAGTGTGAAACCATTCTGCGAGAAAATAATTCAGCCTTGCTTAGGGGAATTTGTTTCCACTGACAATGACAGATTAAAATAGCTTGTGCAGAATAAGTTCATAAGCAGATTGCATTGAGTGCAAGGGGCTAAATAGTCCACATATCAGCAAATAAATATCACCTCCTTCAAACTTATATCTTATTTTCAAGATCTAACCAAATAGAATTTGAGTCAATTTGGACGATTTACATCCTGTCTATGCTGTCTATAAACTGCCAACTTTCACTGTTTCTACATGGACCAATCATACCTTACTTTGTCATTACATACATACACATCAATGTCCACAAGAAATATGGAAAATGATGATCAGTGAAATCCCTCAATTATTTCTCAATGCCAAGGAAAGAAAGACAAATATAATCAAGTTTTTAAAAGCTACAGAACAAAATGGCAGTCCGCATTTGATAAAAAAAACTGTGTCCTTGACGGGATACAGAAATTAGACAGAAGGCTATAAAATAATTGAGCATTTATAATTTATATAAAGATGTCAAAGTTGTTAAAAAAAGAAATAGTCATAACTGTTTGCCAGTTAAAAAATTATTTAAAAGCTCACAAAATCAGCTGATCGGCAGATAATGACATGCCAAGCAGACAGTTTAAATGTGGAGTCTATGTCTAAACTGAAAGAAACAGATGATGCTGTTTGCCAGTTAAAAATATAAAATCAAACACAGTTGACATGGTTATCGAAGTTGTGATGAAATTGTGCTGTTTAAATGGGGGGTCTTGATCTAACACAGTAAAACAGTAATGCAGTAAGACTGTTACAAACTTCTGCAGATTTGAAGAATGCAAAGAAAAAGAGTTAATATATATAATATTTATCCACATGGAGTGAGGGGCAGGGTTGACTTAATCAAGAAAGTGTGATATATATAGTATATGTGTAACAAAATAGGTAGACAAAAGCGATCAGGACTGTCAAAAGCTGATCATGATTAATTTAACATGGTAATCATTATGAGGTCATTATGATTATGTAACAAGGTAATGTTGAAGTGTAACCATGTCCAGTCACTGCTTGGTGTAATATTAAAAATGTGTCACATGAGCAGCACTCAAACATTGTCTGATATCATGTCGGTTGTTTTTTTTAATTTTCATTAAAGTATCTAGTGCAGATAGTTTATCTGTTGTGCAGTCAGTTGTTAAATATAGTTTTAGGTTTCGGAAAAAGACAATCATAATTATCATTGATGGGAAGAAAAGTTAACAATTATTGACATGACAGTTGTGTCATTGATAATACCAAGCATAATCTATTGTAATGAAGCAAAGTTTCAATAATGTTATTATACCAAAGTAGACTTGTCAACGGCCAAGGTTAATATTTATTGTCCACAAACTAATCCAGGCATAAGCATGCCACCACACCTAGTGATCTGAAATATGCAGTTTTCTTTTCTAGCTTTTGTATATTTGCTCAAAAATTCTCCAATATTGATAATTGATCGAAATTAAGTTAAGGATTTTTGGCATCTCCGCAGTCTGCACAGTCTGCTGTTGAGAGACATAAATAAGAAATCGCACTCTGCTTACGCATGGTCGTCTTGTTTCTCCACAACGGCAAGGTATCTGGGGGATTTACCATAGTCCAGGAGCAGGGCAGTCTCTGTACACTGAATGTTGTCAAGGACAGGATCAGTAGCACTGACATCATTTCAACATAACCAAAATATTCATAATTGTTTTAAAATCTTACCATGAAGTCTTTGAAAAGGATTTAGAGTGAGTGAGTTTAGTTTTACGCCACACTCAGCAATATTTCAGCTATATGGCCGCAGTCTGTAAATAATCAAGTCTGGATCAGACAATCCAGTGATCAACAGCATCAGCATCGAACTGCGCAATTGGGAACCGATGACATATGTCAACCAAGTCAGCAAGCCTGACCACCCGATCCCATTAGTCGCCTCTTACGACAAGCATGGCAGATCGATATTCTAACCAGGACCTTCACGGGTAGAAAAGGATTTAGAAGGGACACAAATAAAAAGTGAAAATTTAAGGCAGTGAACTTTCTCATGAGGAACTTGATATTTCAGAGTATATTCTTACCTGATGAAGGCATAAGAATATACTCAAAAATGTCCTGTTCCTCATAATAAAGAAGTTGACATCCATATATTTTCACCTTTTATTCATACCATGAAGTGAAATTACAGATAGATGACTCTTAGTTCTAACAAAAATATTTCAAGTGTTCCCTGTCATTTGTTTGGCTTACAAACTAATTATGTTTGCATTCAAGCTTCCATAAACATAATAAATAATAACAAATAATTGGTCACTGCAGGTCTATTGTTTCCTTATTGGCTGGGCTTGTGTTCCATTAGTGCACTGACCAATGCTTTCTTATTGTCCTTTAGTGTTACTGATTAAATAAGTAATAACGGTAGTTGTCGTTGTTGACTTATACCATGTATACATTTATAAAAGCTAGTGCACAAACTTTGCTTGATAACTACATGCTTATTTACAGCGTATAAAGTGGTATCAGAGACCCTATATAGTCTCTGGTGATATCAATGATTACACCTCCATAACACAAAATGTACTGAAGTCAATTTTTAAGAATCTTTTGATGAGCATGATGAGGAAGAATGAGTGACTTAGGACAAAATTCCTGTTTCAACTTCACTTTCAATGAAAGCATAGGCCTACATATTTGAAATTAATGATTAACGAATATATATTACATTGCTTTCTCAAATGTGGAGTGATTTACACATATTGCATCCCATTTGAAATTTATATGTGCTTTTAAACCCGACAGTGACAGACTTTTCAAACAGATTCTGTAGACCCAGGTATTACATACAGAAAACAGGAAACTGTTATATCCAGTCTATGAAAAATATGTTAATTTTAAGTGAATAACATATGACCATGCTCTACAGAAACTTTCATATGGTATGCAGTTGCAAGAGATGAGTATTGGCGTGAGTGAAAATATAGTCAGTAGATGTCATCCACATGCTCATTTCCATGCCACTATCGTAAAAGATACAATCAAACATGTTTCATCGGCTGAAAGTTTCTTCTGAACAACAGCGCGTGGATCCATAATCACAAGTGTTTAATCTTCAAGAGACGTGACTAGTAGGGGTACTAGTGAAGAAAGATTTCTTCAGTTCAAGTGTCATTCAAGTGCTTTAGGGTGTGTGATCAGACACATGTCAGTATCGAATCTTGCTAATGTGGAGAAAGGGATTTCATTACGTCACACGTGCGCATGCACCCATACAATAAATATATATCCAGTCTTCTTCGACACTTGAGCTCAACCGTTGGCTCCCAACTGACACTGACAGATCAATGACGGAGAAAATGGAGCTAGAATCCTTTGGAATGTATCAACTAATCACACATGTAATGCATCGTTCCTCGAATTTGTTATCCTCATTCACAACCAAAAATGATCCGTCCACCAAAATGACACGATCGATATTTTTAGGTCAAATGTCACCGCATTCTTTGTTATGCTTCTTGCAAACACGAAGTCACTTTCCATGCGGAAGTAAATAACCGGAAATGCAGTTACGTACGAAGCTGTCAAATATTACAAGTTTCGAATCTAAAATTGAGCCGAATCGGTTAAACGTTAATGAAAACACAAACGAACATAGTATATTTATCAACTAAGAGATATATTTGCAAACTAAGCTTTTTCTTACAATTGATGCGTGATTACCAAACAAAACACAACAGCTCCGTTTGTACAGTGTCACCTCTCCTAGGTGACGAGGTCAGGGGTCATTCCCAGTTCAATGAATAACATGACTTATCTTGCTGGTCGTTGTATTGCCTATCCGTCATTATTTTAGCGTCTGGGTAAGTGATTTGTACTTGTTATCTCAGATTCAAGACGTACGGTGTGTTAAATGGTTTTACATATACGATACATTTGCTACCGCAGTTCAGTCCAAGATAATTTAGATTAGTCATTTTAAAAATCGATTATATTCTGATAAGTACGGCTGCAATACTGCAATGTCCGTCGCGATCATGACATCCTAGGACAAAGCCAGTTTCGGATAATATCGATGATAATCAGACATTTACCTATGATTTGATTTAATTAAATATTGGGAAATCTTTTGTGGTGTTAGGTAAATTTTTTCATGCCATATTCTTCTGCTGTAATTTGCAATGAACCATAAGTGTTTCGAAGGGGCTAACTTACATAACATGCAAGTACCTCATTTTACACCTTACTGTTATTGTCACGGTTGAATGGCCCTTTGTTTTGTGAAGTCAAGGCGAGGGAGACATGGTACGACCGTAACAGTGACTGCTCGTGAGTGTGGTATTTCTGTTCTAACGTAACCTAATACTGTAGGGCACGACGTGAGCTTCGAATGTGTCAACAAGTTCTATGAATTGTTGACACGCCTCAGACGCGGAGTTGAACGTGTCGTGTTTCTTTTGTCAATACTGTTATGACTTTGTTGCCGAATCCAAGGAAAATATACACCTTCAGCGTAATTGTGGATATCTGAGTGCAAGCCAAACATATATGAAGTATTATAAATATATACATAAGCAAGGGCGTGTTTTAAACAAATATTAGTTTTATTCTTATTATGAGTATCAATATTATTAAAACTATAATTGTTTCACCATCTTAAGTGTAAATAATGTTTTGTTAAATGTTATCAAAAGAAACGCCACTTTGAAATATAAAATCAAAAGGAAATACAATTATGCAGTTAAGAAATGTATCGTTCATGGGTAACCGGTACCTTTATCTAAGTTAAGAAACTTTGAGGCTTTTATATCTAAATTGTTGGCAATCAAACCTAATGCAGCGTTAGGATATTATTTTAATACACATAATATAAAAATAATATGTGGAAAATACTTTCTTATATTATGGGTGGTCAGCAATTAGTACAGTGTATTAAAGTGACCGAGTGAGTTTAGTTTAACGCCGCACTCAGCAATATTCCAGCTATATGGCGTCGTATTAAAATATGTATACATCTCAGTAACTATATCCTTAGGGCAAGACCGGTTGAAGTAAATATCTTACGCAAATCTATCCCCAAAATACACGAAATTACAAAGGGACAAAAAATATATAAACACTTTTGATAATATAAGAATTACTAAATTATTTGTTACATCTTGTCCATTACCGTAGTTTATCGTGAATAATCCATTCCCACCATTTCGGGGTTCTCGTTTGGAGAGAAAAATGTCACCCCTTGACGTTAGGTGAAGGGAAAAATAAGACTCAACTCAAATCAACAAAACAATAAATTAAATCTGGTGCATTTTTTACATGGATAGAAATGAGATTTTTTTCCAAAAATGTCTTGAACCAGGTCACTGCATGCAAAACAGAACCGTTGCTCATTGCATGTTAAGTTGAATTGATTTGATAATTAATATTTGAAAGGTGGCTCACTTTCAAGGTCGATACCTGGACAGTAGTATTAATAATTGAGAGAGCTTGTCAGAGGCCATCTGTCTGTTACTGCACGTGAGTGTATGCACATGCGGGTGTTTACAGACTTCCTACCCAGAGAAAGAAACATATGGGCTCAGAAGGATCGTATCAGGTAGTTATGCATTATTATAACAATTGGCGTCCATGTTTCTCTATACAGATGTATATCAACCATCTCTTCAGCTGAACACACACAACGATTTTGTCATTTCATTTGAAAGGTTACTGTTTCCTTGAAAGGCTATGTGTTATTGATTAACTTCACTCACGACCAGTGCTACGGGTTCAACGAAAACCTGGATTCACTAATGAAAACCTGGATTCCCTAACCCTTACAGGGAATAGTGGTAAATGTTATTTAATTAATCACTTCCGCTGCTTTATCTTTTCTGTCTATTTTGACAGACAACCATTAATATGTACTCGACTGTACTGGCGTTTCAACCTAATGTTACAAGATGTGTATTAAAATTGTCGGAATATTTGAATATATTCATTTTCAAAAGTGTTAAGTTCAGTGTTAACTGTAATTGCATCCAAATAGTTGAGCTTTAATATTAATGAACTTGAAAATTCTCGCCTTCGTTCAAGTGTTCCTTGCATGAACATATAGGTCACTGAGGCAATCTCTTTGCTGCAAAATATATAGGTCACTGAGGCAATCTCTTTGTTGCAAAGCAAACTTATACATTTGTCTAAACCAATACTGACACCTTTGTAATAGACAAATGCTGTAACTGAAGAGTAAGAAATCGCCCAAGACCGCGCGTTGCGAGAGCTCTCATTAAACCATGACTGCTAAGGATAATTGATGTAACATATTCATCCAGATCAAGACAAGAACGGTGTGTGGAGCCTACCAGACCAGGTGTCAATGTGTCGGGGTTAATCGCCTCAAGAGGGGTCCTTTGTGCTTGCCAGGAGACACCAAGCATTGCTTAATATTGCCGTATTTTACAGCTTAGATCAATGGTCAGGTACAAAGCTTACCGGTAATATGTTCAAATATGTCACCGTCGTCTCAACTGCTTGCAGTTTTGGTAGAGAACAAATTGCAGGATATATATATAAGTAACATTTGTGCCTGTCATGACAAAAAAAGACATTTGTTTTTTAAACGAATCTCGCTTAATCTTCACACGATTACTTTTGAGACGCCCCCTGTGTTTGTAAGAACGATTTGTTTGGTTCTGTGTGTGCCGACGAATACGGTTGCCCGGTGTTGGACATTCCCAGCTAATGGCCACATTGTCGTGGGTCGGTAAGTCGTGAAAAGTACAGACAAAAATGACAGATGATTATTGACATCTTTTTCCTCAAAAAAGTTTCATTTATATGCAAACATTTCAGATGCCAGTACAAACATTATCCAAATAAACACCGATGTATTTTTTTTGTAAATATCGACTTCACGTAGATTGATCTGTCATACCAACAAATCGAAAATGTGTCGCAAGAGTGTGATGTTATTTTTATAAGCGCAAAGATAATGGCGATCTGTTGTACAGTCACGCCAACGTGGGATGGATTGCTACAGTTAGATTCTAATGGATTTCTCCGTAGCTCAGTTTTCCAGGTTGACACTGCTTAACTGTAACTTAAATATGTGACATTGCTTTGTAACTCACAGCGGCTGCCTCATTGCAAAGTGTACTTACTTCATTGGAGGCAAGTATCTGATACAGATACCAAAGTGAAATTCAACTGATACGTCTGGTACATCCTTAAATGCTTATGCGATGAATATAATTAAAGTGCGCGATTGGCTACTATCAAGTAGGGTTGCTACGATTCGGATCGATTTGAACATCGAAAATCGAATCTGACACCTTAGTTTCGATTTTCGATAACCATTATCACTATTTCGGTTCGATTTTTGAATGCCTATTAAAATTATTTCCACACACCCAGAACGTAATTTTTACTCCAACTCGAGCAGTTTCGAGCGCTGAAATAAGGCGAAACGTGATTGGTTGACGCCGGGCTAATTATTGTTGAGAATTGTTGTTATTAGACATCGCCAAGTTGACGATGGGTTTCACGCTAAAAAAGCCGACTCAATTGAACTCTGAGAGTTAAATGAAATCTGATGTTTTACTTGTTTTGGGGTTTTTTTAAAATGATCGAATCGTGGGTCCAATATCGAAAATCGAATCGAATCGAGGTCTTGGTGAATCGTTGCAGCCCTTCTATCAAGTTTCATCACGGCGGAAGCTCAGTTCGGGAGAAAAGCTCGAAGCAAATATCAATCGTTTACGGCTTTAGTGAAACCCACGAACACGGGTATGATGCTTGCAAATCTAGAAACATAATCAAGTGGACCCGGGATTCGAACTCACAATCATAGGTTTATGGCGTACTCCAGTGGAGGCAACTTTGCAAAGCGAATTCGGCGCCTGAGACGATGTAACAGCTATCCATTGCAGTTGTGACAAATGATGCCGTCGACTGCGCATGCAAACCTTTTGCGAAACATAACCCATTCAGATGTCTGTGTTCTCTGATTGTATAGAGGAATCACTGGTATAATGGTTACATTCGTGAAGAATGGAAACTGTTCAATGTGCGATTCCGTGATACGTGTTCATCCTAACAAATCTGTACACTTTAAGAGGCATCCCTTCATTCAGGAGTAGGGGCGGTGGGGTAGCCTAGTAGTTAAAGCGTTTGCTCGTCACGCCGAAGACCCGGGTTCGATTCCCCACATGGGTACAATGTGTGAAGCCCATTTCTGGTGTCCCCCGCTGCGATATTGCTGGAATATTGCTAAAAAGCGGCGTAAAACCATACTCACTCACTCACTCATTCAGGAGTGTCTCTCTGTTGTTTATTGCCACTCTCAGAAATATTCCAACCATAAGGCGGCGACCTGTTAAAAATCGAGTCGGCACTAGACAATGACGTCATTGACATTATGAGCGTCGACCAAGTCCGCTAGTCTCACCACCCGGTCCCGCTAATCGCCCAACGAAAGGCAATAAGTTGAGTGATCTGTAAACTTTTGTGGAATTCCATGATTACAGGAATGAAAACGTTACTTGGCTGAAAACAGTCGCCAAAACACT